GACCAAGCATGTCTGGTAAGATGTTGCTGTCATTACAGTAAGACATGATAATTTGGGACTTTAAAAATATAAGGGACTGGGTCATTTTTAAAACTGCAAAATAATCTTTTGGAGGCTTCCCATAGCTATTTTGCACCTTTAGCCAATATCTTTCCCAAGGACAAGACAGAACATTGCCTCACTGAGCATTGCTTTTACTTTATTTCTATTCCACCTTTGCTAGCATTTTGTACCTCAAATTAGAGCAGTGCAATGTGGGAGTTCTGTGAGGGCTTATACATACAAAGGTTACTTCCCATTCCACAAATAAAATAAACAGGAGCAAAGGTCAAAAATGGGGGAAATGGTCATAAATCACTTTTTCAGTAGCATTGTAACTTTGAACGGTCACTAAATAAACTGTTGTAAGTCGAGGACTGCAAAGGTTGTTCATGAGAGGAACAATGATAAATCACTTTTTTCAATGCCATTGTAACTTTGAATGGTCACTAAACGTATGGTTGTAAGTCAAGGACTGTATGTAATTAGAAGCTAATATGGCCTATTTCTAGTTCTACCAGAGGCCTAGAAGGGCAAAGAACTATAGACTCATAGATACCTGATCTATGGGAATGAGACATTGCTGAAGGAATAAACTGTTTGGCAAAGCTGATGTTCAAAGCTAATAAGAGCCAGGAATCTCTTACCTGTCAGCTCTTGGCTTCTACTTCAAGCGAACTTTAATCTGTTTAATGCTACCTAATCTTGGTACTTGCCCGGTTATTCTAACAGACTTGATTGGTATCTGTAATGAAATGTTATTTGATGAGCTACAGCTAGTTTATCATTAGGCTAATATCCAGAAACTTTGGTATTACTCTCAACAGATTTCATGGTTTTAAGACAATTTCACATTTTCAAGTTGCATTTCTTAGATGGTTATGACATACATGCTGCTATTCTGCTCTTGTAAAAAAAAAATTCCCTAAAGAGAAAGTGCCATACACTAGAGTCATCTAGATTAAAACTGCTTGCAAATAACTCATATGTAATCTGAACATATTGGTCAGTTTCCACCATATGACATTCAAGAATCTTTCCTAAGCAAGCCAGCTAAGGCAAAAAGCAGAGTAGAACCTTTTGTGGACCAAAGCATCCATATATTTCCCATCACAGCTTTCTTAATTAGGGGAAATATTTTCAGCTCTGCATGCTGCAAAAACCTCTCCCTTCTTAGAACTTTGAACTCACCTGCTGCAAAGTATAGCTTGCTGCATAGGAGCAGACATGAAGTAAAAAAGTAGTACTTGGCCACAGCTGGCAAACTCAGGTGATATGAGGATAAAGTCTGTCCTAGTTTCCTTTCCTTAATGGGAAAAATTATCACCTCTTTTGTATAACTGCTATGAGTCAGAGAATGGATAAGGATTCTGTACCACTCTGCATTTTCAAACATATACTCTTTATAGTGTTCTCGATACAAAATAAGGTTCAGTTTTGTTATCTAAATGAACCAGCATTACTTCTGTTAAAGAAGCCAATCCCAAATGGAAACCATCTAAGGCAGGGGTGTCAAATTTATATCATCACGTTGATATTACATGACATATCGGGACTTTTTTTTCCCTTCGCTAAACCGTGCGTGGGCGTGGTCAGCGCATGACATATCTGGCCTGCAGGCCGGGAGTTTGACAGCCCTGATCTAAGGAAAAACAGCCGCCATTGTGAATAGAGGAAAACAGAGCACACAGGATTAAAAAGTTATTTATGCTGATCTAGAAACATCATATTAGCTAACATACATACTATGGTATGTACGCATCATATGTACCAGAATATTTTCAGCCAGTTAGGGAAAAAAGCCAAGACAAATCAGATTTTTTGCAAATGCATTTTATCCAGCTTCTCTGGCAATAAAAGAAACCATGCATATTTTTAGGCAAAACTCAAACGCAGCAGTCAAACTCTGAAAGCACCAAAGAGCTAAATGGAAGGAAGCAAATGGCTTTTTGCACATCAAGAGAATTAGCCTACAGCACCAAAAACAGCTTGCAACCCAGAAAAGCATGCAGTAAGGCTCACGTACCAGCTACCTCCTTAATTCTGGAATCTGAATTATGCTACTGTTGCATCATGAAGCTCATATGCTTGGGGTCATAAAACTGCTGGAATCAGAGGGGAAGGGATTAATGAAGCTTAGAAAGGGCAGACAATGGAATACAGCTTTGCCTCTCTGAGGCCTGCACAAACAAAAGGTGCAACCATTGGTAGGCAGAAATATATGTCACAAGTTCCCTTCCCATTTCCAACCCATCACACGAAAAGCTGCCTTTTTTCAGAGTTTGAATGAGGCCAGACTTCAAAAAGTATAAGGTTATTTATGCAACCTTAGTATTTCAGTGTTAATATTTTCTGCTGCCTACTCAAACAACTCTAGGTATTCTAGAATATGTTAAAACATTGATAAAATCCATAAATATTACTATTAACATCTTTTAAAAAATCTGGGGCAATGGTCTCATGGGGAAATTCCCAAGTGTCAGATTCTGTCAAAGAGATGGAAGAGGTAATGAGAAACTGGCACAGCAATTCTGTATTCCGCAGCACCATCTAAATGTACTGGGTGAATCAGAACATCACATTAGCCAGTAATTTTTGTTTGCTCAGAGCATATTTATATGAACACACAATTGTATTTTGTTCATCCAAGTCTAGGGGTTAACATATCATATGAATCCAGACATGTATGAAGAAATGATAAGAGCCCATACTCAGAACTATTCAATGTCTCCTTCCTTTCAATAGATAGGAACAATCTCCTCCCATATGAGTCAGGACTATGATTAAGCACTATGGCATTAGTCAACTTACTAACAGGTAGACAATTTTTTTTCTCACTAGATTCTGAACCAAAGTAAGTTAAAACATCTGTGAAAATCTACTACATTTTTCAAACAATTTTATTATACAAATAGTTATACTTTTCCCACCATGCATATAAAAGTTTGCTGCAAGAACAGAGAAAATTATACAAGTATGTTGATGAGCACAAGACAGAATAAGACAGAACATAACCCTACTGCAGCCTTCCCCGAGGCTATGCCAACAGGGATAACAACAACCCCATGTATTTTTTAGACGTGTCATAAAAACAATACAGTAAGAGAGGACTTCACAGTAGAGAAAGCTATTCAAAAATACCCATCATAGTAATAAGAGCTAACACCAGGTGCGGGGAGCAGAAGCAGAAGAAAGAAAAATAAGAAATCCCAAAGGTGCTTTTTCACCTTTGGATGACTCCAGCATCTCCATAGACAAAAAGGAGAAAAGACAGTACACAAAATTACAAGTCACACTTAACACACCATGGCATCCTATTTTACTGAAGCAGTTTTGTGCCTTCTTCTGGGATATTTTTAGACCCCCCTCAGTCTAATCTGGAGTTTCCTGATGGCCTCTCTCCCTCTCTATCTTGATTGAGATCTAGTCAAAAAAAAAAAAATCTGGTCCCCAAATTTGACCTCGCATCACTATCCCGGGACACATCTGTTTGCCTTCATCCCCCCCCCCCCCGTCTAATCCTCCGCTTTCTGAAACCAACCATTGCCCCGAATACATTAGCAGGGATGAAATCCAGCAGGTTCTGGAGAACCGGTAGCGGAAATTTTAAGGAGTTCAGAGAACCGGCAAATACCACCTCTAGGTGCCCCCCCCAGTGGGGTGGGAATGGAGATTTTGCAATATCCTTCCTCCTGGAGTGGGGAGGGAATGGGGATTTTGCAGTATCCTTGTCCTGGTGTGGGGAGGGAATGGAGATTTTGCAGTATCCTTCCCCTGCCACACCCACCAACCCACGCCCACAGAACCGGTAGTTAAAAAATCTGAATTTCACCACTGTACATTAGGGATTGAAAGAATTAGGGGACGGGAGGATGATGACAACACACACACACACACACACACACAAAACAACGCGTCCCGATGGGTACAGATCCCGCCACCGGAAAGAGAAAGCCGGCCGGTTGAAGAAGCGCCAGGGAGAGGCTCGACACGTGGGGAGGGGGGGTGGACACCCGCCTTCCTTCTATCCAGCCACGGGATGCTGTGGAGGGAGGCGGCCCAGCAAAAGAGGTGGGCTGCCCTATATTTTCCACCCCACCCCCGCCCAGCCCAACAATCATCGGGCAAAGCCGATTTACCTGATGGTTGATCCCCCAAGCCAGCACGCCCAGAAGCGGGTCGGCCGAGCGAAGCACTTTCACCCGCTGCGGCACGAAGTGCTTCTTCTTGGTCTTCGTGCGCGTCCCCGGACCCACCGAGGCGGCCATCCTCGCTGCTGCGAATCCCGCGCCGAGTGGCTGGCCGCCGCCCCCCCACGCTCACCACCACCCGCCTGCCTTGCCTGCCTGCCTTGCCTACCCACGCGCCGGCCGCTCGGACTCAACGGCAAGCCCAGAACGCCGGCAACGGAAGTAAACGCTCAGCTGATTCCCGCCGCACGTGACCACGAAGGGAAGGGAGGCGGCGGGGAAGCTACGTCACAAAAGGAGCGATGGAAATAGCTCCCTTGGACGTCCGTCTGTCTGTGGTGGCGGCGAGCGTTAGGCCTTAGTATAGCGGAAGGCGTTGCTAGTAAACGGTGGTTGCCTAGTGTGTGAGGCTCGGTGTTGCGTAAACGCTCCCTGTATTGGATTGCGCGCTTTGTGTGTGTGTACTTTATAACACTATGGGAAGGTGGGGAGCTAACACGGCGCTCGCAGGTACACGGTGAATGAAACTATCTAGAGCGGAGGTGGAGAAATCTATGGCCCTTTTGTGACTTGTGGACTTCAACTCCCAGAATTCCTGAGCCAGCATGGAATTCCTGGCTCAGGAATTCTGGGAGTTGAAGTCCACAAGGTCACAAAAGGGCCATAGATTTCCCCACCTATCCCCGATCTAGAGGAAGGGTTGGAAAGGAAAAAAAAAAAGGTTCGAGGGCAGCGTTTAAAAATGCAGCCGAACAGAGGAGGTGGTGGTCGTTACACGAGGCAGGAGTGTTACTTCATGGAGCCCTTCGTTAAGGAAATGTTTTCTGGGGGAGACAGAGCCACAATGCCATAAATTCTAAGTAACAGAATATACACAAACGTGGCCTTCGAGACAGTTGACTTGACTAGTCCCTGCTGTTTTCTTGGCAGGTGTTTTTGGAAGTGGTTTGCCTGTTTAGAGCTGAGAGAGAGGGATTGGCCCAAGGTGGCTGTGTGCCTCAGGTGAGACTGGAACTCGACGGTCTTCCAATTTCTACCCTGATGCCTTAACCATTACACCAAACTGGCCTATCCATAATTAGAATAATTATACTTCAGTAAATATACAGACATATAACTGGACTACTAACCTTACAAAGTTTGAGTTCGAAATTTGTTCATCTGGCAGCTCAAAAAGACACAGTAGGCAGAACTAAATGGTCATAGGATAGAATAGAATTTTTTATGGGCCAAGTGTGATTGGACACAAGGAATTTGTCTTGGTGCATACGCTCTCAGTGTACATAAAAGATACGTTCATTAAGAATCATAAGTACAACACTTAATGATAGTCATAGGGTACAAATAAGCAACAAAATTACAGTCATACAGTCATAAATGGAAGGAGCCGGGTGGTGGGAACGATGAGAAGATTAATAGTAGTGCAGACTTAGTAAATAGTTTGACGGTGTTGAGAGAATTATTTGTTTAGCAGAGTGATGGCATTGGGGAAAAAACTCTTCTTGTGTCTAGTTGTTCTGGTGTGCAATACTCTATAGTGTCATTTTGAGAATAGAAGTAGAAACTCTTTAAGTCATCTCTTTAAATTTTGCTGTATATCTGTTACAGAATGTTCCAGCCGTAGCATCTATTAAAACCTAAGGCATAATAGGCCAGACTCAAAACCTATCTGGGAAAGATGATTGAAATCCATCTGCCTCACTAATTATCTGAACCCATTTCAGTTGACTTTTTAAATACCATAAGTATAGACCCATACAAGCAAACCCCATACAACAAAAAGCTTTTTTAGGAGGGGAGGGCCTCAGTTTTTAGAAGTGGAAAGGAGTTCTGAGAGAAACAAGTTTTTAAAAAAGTAAACGCTGGGTTAGAAAGCAGCCCTGCTTGTTCTCCCCCCCCCCAATTTTATTAAAGATTATATTATACAAGTTAAATTTTACAGAACTACAGAATAAAGAAATACATTACAGATTTAAAAATTAAAAAGTGAAGAAAAAGGAAAAACAGAAACAGAAACCTACAACTTCATCCTTAGCATTAGAGTATAGTCAACATTAAGAACTTACTTTCACTATCTCTTAAAATGAAACCAACTCACTATCTCTTAAAATGAAACCAAACATTTTTTCATTCCATCTCACACATGTTTCTGTAAACACGGGTGATTTACATATCTAAAACTCTCCCTATTAAAAGTCCAGTAAGGATTATCAGAAATAAAGTATTACAAATTGTATTTATTACATCCAATCTGAATCCTTCCTTTCTTCAATTAATAAACATTCAGTCCCACTCAAAAAAAAAAAAAAAGATCAGAAATAACTACAGTATTATCCTCCACTTCTAAACAAGAAACCATTAAATACCCCCCCCTCCCATAACAACTCATTACTTTAACCTTGGTCAAATCTTGTATTCTTCTTTCTGCAACCTATCTTTAAGCACTTCAAAGAAAGTTCTAACATCTGTCTTCTCATGCTGTATTCTCTTCAGTAAAAATTCTTTTCTTCGTCTTTATCAAGCCTTTTGATTTTCTTGAACTCTTGGAAGCTTTCAAATATAAATTGTATTTTTTGATAATTTGCAGTTTATAGGGACATTTTCAATTATTCCCATCTTTCTTGTTCAGCTGCAAGAGGAAGGTAGGGCTAGAGGCACCAACACTTACTAAATCCAGTTTTTTTCAAAGACAGTAAATGTTGGCTCAATATGTGTGATAAAAACATGACAGTATACTCTTCTGTGTTGTTTGTTTAACCAACATCTTTTGTCTAGTAACGGGGTTTAATTGAAGCTCTGATCAATTTGTAGGTCATAATACTGCAGGATTATACAGTGTTCTAAATATTTCATTGACTTTCCCCACTGTAGTTTTCAGAGGCTTGTCTATCTGGCATACAGGAGAGAAGCTTCAGTGTTGATTCTGGGCACAATGATTGGTTTCTGATATTATGAGGTGAAATCCAACAGGTTCTGGAGAAATGGTAGTGGAAATTTTGAGCAGTTCAGAGAACCGGCAAATACCATGACTGGCTGGCCCCAGAGTGGGGTGAGAATGGAGATTTTGCAATACCCTTCCCCCAGGACTGGTGAGGGAATGGGGATTTTGCAGTATCCTTCCCCTGCCACATCCACCAAGCCACACCATGCCCACAAAGCCACGCCCACAGAACAGGTAGTAAAAAAATTTGGATTTCACCACTGGGCTAAACTGATGGTGACTCTGTTCTGAAGTTATGACACAAGAGCCTTGGTAGCACAGTGGACTAATGCACTGTTATTAACATCTGCTGCTTGCAATTACTGCAAGTTCAAATCCCACCAGGCTCAAGGTTGACTCAGCCTTCCATCCTTTCAAAGGTAGGTAAAATGAGGACCCAGATTGTGGGGGCAATAAGATGACTTTGTATAAATATAAAAAAAGTATGAAGGCTATTGCTTAACGCATTGTAAGCCGCCCTGAGTCTCCGGAGAAGGGCGGCATATAAATTAAAGCAAAAAAAAAGGTGGCGCAGTGGTTAGAGTGCAGTACTGCAACTACTTCAGCTGACTGCTAGTTCAGCAGATCAGCGGATCAAATCTCACCGGCTCAAGGTTGACTCAGCCTTCCATCCTTCCAAGGTGGGTAAAATGAGGACCCAGATTGTTGGGGGCAATATGCTATTTAGTATACTGTCTTTGGTGTAAGCCGCCCAGAGTCCTCGGAGAATGGGCAGCATAGAAATATGACAAATAAACAAATAAATAAATCTGTGGGGGAGGGGTTGTCATGACACCAGTACATATTGGATGAAGTCATAATGCACATTTTTATCATTTACCCACCAGCAGATGTCCATGCTCCCAAAAATTCTCCAGGTACTACATTTGGACTTTAACATATGAATTTTTTCATTTATATTTTTGAATGTTTATTTTTGTACCCATTTATGTCATTGGCAGCTTTCCATCCTTACGTTGGCTAGAAAGATAGAATATAAATCTACTTCAACATGGCAAGAAAGCACAGCATTTTTTTTTAGCAATTGTGATTACAACAGGATTCAGTAAGGTTTAGACCTTTAACCTTTAGACCATTTGTTGCTGCCTTAAACAATAGTTTACAAATTATACTCTGGGTTCCCATTAAACCTGTGTGAGTTCAATGAATGCTACTATTGTTCATTCTCAGAAAAGCTAGAAGTCTCTCTCTCTCTCCCTCTCCCTCTCTCTCTCTCTCTCTCTCTCTCTCTCCCTCCCTCCCTCCCCCCCCCCCCCCCCTCCCTCCCCCCCTCTCCCTTCCCCCCCCCTCTGAATCTATTCTGATGGTTGGAAGATCAGATTTTCCTGAATGAAATGGCCCAGCTCTAATTCAGAAAACAATTGCTGCTGATATTCTACATTTTAGTTGATAGTAAAATTTATACAAGTACCGGTACATAACCCCTCAAAAGGTATATCAGCAAATCTTTTGGTTGGATAGTACATATCATTAAATAAAACAGTGGTCCAGGATAATTATAAAATACAAGAGTGCATTTTGTTGCACACTTTGCATTTGATACTGGAATTGCCTTCCAGCACAACTTTCTTAGTTATGAAGCATATAATTGCACCTAAAGGGAGAAAGAAAAAAACGAAGTATGATCTTACCTTCTAAAACTATTTTCCTAGGTATTAAATTGCTGGCAAATATTTTTACCTTATACTTTTAAGCAAAAGCCCAGATAAAATTTCTGTCTGAGATAAATATGGCCATGGCTCTTTAAATCAGATTTTGGGATTACTCTGATTTTCTGTAATAGCTTATAGTATTTATAAACACCATATGTTTCTGTGATAGTCTTTCTATATGATATTCAGATCTGCACTTTCCAGATTTCATCGCCAGCATAACCAACAAGGATCCTAGTTATAGAAATCCAGGAATTGTTTCAATATATCTGGAGGGACTGGGTTGAAAGTTGTTGTAATAAGATGTTGGAAATGTACATTCCTCCAGCTATTTATTACTTAAGTATGTAAACAACCTACAACCAACAGAATGTTTTTCAAACTCTGGATGCCACAGGATTATTAATACTGATGTTTACCATGCCATTATCATGGTACCGTTATTCCGAGCCCGAATATCTAAAGTTTTGTCCTTCAGTTACAAGAACGTAAGAAAAGTTGTGTGAAATCTGTCCAATGATCTAACCCAGCTTTCTGTTCCTATATAGGACAATCAGATACTTAATGAGAAGTCAAGCAGGACAGGAACATACAGTAGCAACATCTTTCTGCCTATGACCACTAACAACTGGTATGTTACTTTCATTATGATTAACAATCTTTGATGTTACCTAATTTGGGTAGTGAAAAATCTATAAGAAAACAACCAAGCTCAGAGAGCACCAAGGACCCCTCATTGAATAACCTTATTCCTCCATGAGACTTCTTTTAAAACGGCCTGACTTAAAGATCAGAGATATTTCCTTTTATCTGCCTCAAATCTCTCACTATTCAACTTAATTTAATGACTCTGAGTATAGTATTATGTAATATTATAATGCTATATTAATATTATGAGAGAGAAAAACACATTGTCCTATCAATTTTTTAATATATGTCTTGTACCCCTTCTTATTCATGGATGAGGCAATGTACCATTATAGTTAAGATGTTAGACTAGTACTGAGACAACAGGTATTTAAATCCTTATTTGACCAAAGAGTTCATTTGACTAGTGAGTGATTTTGGGCCAGTCACCTTGTTATAGATCAATCTATTTCACAGCATTATTTTTATTGATATAAAATGAGAAGTGAGCCCATGTAGAAGTGAGCCTATGAGCTGTTATAAATAGGATATATCTAAAACATATCCTATATTTTATGTATTATGTAATCCTATATATGTATTATATGTAATACATATATGTAATAAATATTTTTTACTTATTACATATATGTAATTACATAACCATCCATTAATGGAAAGCCTTAATGATTTTGATTGCCCCACTTTGTACTTTTATTATATATTATACCAGCTGTATAATGTTGTATTTTGGGCTGGTGAGCAGAAATGAACAGTTTGAAAGCATTATTATGGTGATAAAGCATTCTGAGAATTAACTCGTAATATTTTAGTAATTCACTTACTGGTCTTTTCTCTTACCACCCATTCTGGGGTTTTTTCCCCCTGATATTCACTGCAGCTACCTTATTATGTGAACTTTTAGTTTAAATGTTTCATAAGGATCTACTGCAGATACTCCCCCCCTCCCCCATTTTTTTCCAGTCTTAATGGATAGCTGATGACTTGAAAGCTAAGCACATTCCGACCAGGTTAGACTTGGAGGGAAATCATCAGGAAATTCCATAGACTAGACTGGATTTTTTTTTTAAAAAAATCACATATTACAAAGCTCTTTTATATAATTGCCAATAAATGGCATGGATATGTCCATGTAGTCACACGAGGATTTTTCACCTAAAGGAATTTTTATTATAGACACAGTAACAGAGCACACAAACATGTTTTTTTTTTAACTCTTTATTTTTTTTAAATAAAGTTTTGAATAGCTTGACATGCAACATTTGATGTGATCTGAGCAGACAGGGATAAAATGACAGGATGTCAACAACCATCAAGAAGACAGTTAAACAGGGTTATTGCTGTTTTAAGTGTTTGACAGGAAAGAGGCTTGCAATCCTTTGTAAAAGCCACTTTCCCTGTCTCCCAACCCTGTTTGCCCTATTGACTCAGAAGTGGTGACATTAAGTTAAAGATGTGCAGTGGACTCACTGTTCCCTCAAAATATACACATGGGAGCACAAATGAAAGGCCCCTGAGCCAGCTATCAAGAGATAAAAGGGAACAACTGAAAATATGTTGATAGCAGCCTAATTTTTTTGTTTCACTTTACAGAATCATTAGGCCTCGGCCTGTGCCCCAGATATGCAGTGGTTATGGCTGGTTAGGACTTGCTAGAGAATTTACCCATCAAATCCAACAGGTCTGTTCTGCAAACTGTAACCCTGCCCCTGCAAAAGCAAAACTACTATCTAGTTTCTCCTTTACAGAATGAAATGGGGCCACTTATATTCCTGAGGCCATGTTGCTGGCTCGTAGAGGAGTTATGGTCCCCATGGATAAAGTCCTCACCCATTGGAACCTTCTGTTCCCATTGAGGAAACAATAACTGCTCAGCATAGGCAGCATTCCTAACATTGTATCAACTGAAGGAAATGACTAGCAGGATCTCCTTTCTGTAGAAGACTTTCCAAGGCCATTTCTGAAGTGCCATAGCGACCTACGAAAAATGGGAAATTTAAGTCCATAAGGGCTGAAGCTCAAGCATCATGGGAAACTCCTAAAGGTGAAGCTAGCTGCCAATATTTAATATTCTTTGGGGATTACCCCAAAGGATAAGAACTAGATGTTAAAGCTCTCGGCCTTATCTGAAAGTCAGCTAATACGTACACGATAACAATTCTAGCCTACCTACTTGGAGGTATTCAACTTCTATTCTTACAGTAAGACCTAAAAATATTGGGGTGGGTGGTGTTCTACTGCAGGTCAAGGGTCATTATGACATGTGGGGGATACCTTATGCCCTTTCTCTTCGGCAAGAATTGTTTGCACATTAGGGGTGCTTCTACATCTAGGTTCTTCCCTGGCAGCCCATCCCTTAAGGCAACTGAGGCAGGAAAGGAGAGGCACAAGTCCTCCTGGAGTAAGGAGCAGGGATCCAAAGAGATAAGGGAATACATTATTCTCTACTTAAGTAAGTAAGACAGAGAAACAGTGAGAGTGAAGCAGCAGCTGATAAATATACAGGACACGGAGAGAGCAGGACACAAGGACAGGGCCAATTGTAGCAGAAGTCAAGGAAAGCCGGCTGCAGCATGCAGGTGTGAGGCTTCCATCCCATTTAGAAACTACAAGATGAGGAAAAGAGGGAAGAGGGAAAAGTCAATAGAAATGATCTTAATATACAAGCTTCTCTCCAGCTAAATATTAAGGAGGAAGCTTTCTGCATTTAGTTCTGCAATTCACCAATAGTTCTTACAGAGATAAAATTGGTGTTGAATCCTTAAATCCATGGATTTGGTGACAGCCAGCCAGAATACTTACTCCTGGAAGCTCACAAACAGGATTTATGTAGTGAAGGATCAAGGGGGAAAAAAGGACCTACCCTATACCCCTTGTGCAGGACAGAGTTTATTCTGTTTTAATTAAAAGGTGCCTTAGCAAATCTTGTGAGAAAAATATTTACCCAGTTGGAAGAAGCTGAAGGGCAGATCTGATAGAGTCCTGGGAAAAGGAAATATTATGAGATGCAATAAAAAAAATTGGTGAGATAGAGACCATATGATGGACTGTACCTGATGGTGAGTTTAGATGCTCTGATAGGTGGTGATACTAGCTATTAGCTGGCTGCAGTCTCCTGATGAAAGGGAAAGAGCTTGGCTTGCTCATCAGCTTCAACACCACAAGGCAGGTCACTTCTACAGCAGAGGAAAAGGGAACACATGGTATCTCAAACTTTTCCTCCCTGCTAAGTGCTTTCCCCATACTTTTGTATACAAAAAAAATAATAAATGATTTATCCCTGGAACTAACCACTTTGAAGAAATAAGAAAACTGATTTGAACCAATGGCTAGGCAATCGTCCTCCATACAGCTTCTCACCTGTTATCATTGATGTCTGTGGCATTTCCTGTGCACCCATCCAGTGGAAGAACAGGGAAAGAAAAAACAGCATTACAATTCAGAGAAGGGCACATGTTGAAGGAGCAAACAGTGCCCTTCATGTGTGTATTTAGTTTTGCCTGGAAAGTGCTGCCTCACTGAAACTTAAAACATAAACCTACCAGCACCTCATGCACAAGATAATCAGAAAGGAGACTTATTCTGAAGTATTTTCTACCAAGCTAACCATCTCTCAATTTATTTTCTTTGCTTTCCAGCTTTCCTGTCCCATTTGTTTGTTTTGTGAGACAAAACCCATGCACCACATCCCTGTCTGTAAACCAAGAAATAGTGGGACATGAGAACAGACTTTCGTTATAAAGACACTACCTCCTCACCAAGTGGGTCCTTTAAATGGGGCCAAATGATCTCAAGCTACTAATAGACCCAGTCTAGACAAACAGAAAAGCAAGAGGCACCCTCCCTTCTCCTTAAGGATACACTTATTTTTCTTCCCAATATCCTACCATTATCCATATTGAGCTTCTGATAGGAGGTCAGAGGGGCAGTGGAGGAGGTGCTTCCACTGCTGGAAGGTGCATTTGTAAAGCTGCATGAATGGAAAAAGAAAAGGGATATATAAGCAATTAATGGATATTAATAGGTTATGTATGCTAAAAGGACTATAGGTGCCTAGCTGTCTCAGTTCTATTCTACTTTTCTCAGTGCTGAAGCGTACAGCTGAGGGGAACTTCTAGGGATCGGTGTGCTGTAATAGAACAGAGAACCCTGAAGCCAAATATGACATTAAAAGCTGGGGAGAGAAGATCTGTGTGTCAAAATGATTTTAAAAAGCCTTTTCAAGTAAGAATGTGTAGGAAATAGATGACTATTAAGATCTTGTATTCAAATTACTAAATGTACTAAATTCCAGGGGAGAGTATTTAATCTGAAGAGGGCAAGTTTGGGAAATAGTCATCCCATTAAATCCTCAATGTGGATGAACTTGTTCCCGATTCTCCAAGTTAAATCTTGTACCTTTGAATGAGAGCCAAACATAGCAGTCTTTTTTTAAAAAAAAAGTTTTGTTTTTAATGCCAGTTATTTTTTTCCCCTGTGAATTTGTGAAGACTGCAATGATCTGGTGAGTAATTTATATCTCCAGCTCAACTTGATATATCCTAGATTATATTTTTAAAAGTAGGTTAGACCAGCCAGCACATAAGCAAATACAAATTCATTCTTCTGGCATGGCTTCTTCTCCACATGATAATATATAGTGGATCTTGCACATTCACATTATTTTAGAATTCCAGAGTCCAGATCCAAAAATAAAATTGTAGTTGGCCTAGGCCTACTCTTTGCTATCAACCAATAACTAAGACATGACATTATTTAGATCAGATTTTATGTAAGCCAAATGCAATGATGACATATTCAACTTTGATTTATGGAGCAAAATGTTCTTCAGATCGCCTCCTGAAAAACTGATAGATTCATCTAGGAAGCTTGCTTAAGCCAACCACAGCTTAAGCCAATCATAGTTTGCACAATTTAACAGAAATAGAAGTCAAATATACTCACTAGCTGTCAGGCACAGTGCCGCCAGAATTCAGGTAGGCATTTTGATAATTCTGGAAGAGGCTATTGGTGTAGCTGATGCAATCAGAATTACGGACACCGTAAGGATTGGTTGGAGATGAAGCTGGATAGTGCCCTGGTCGCACTGGTTTTGCTGCAAGAGGAAACAAATGTTAGATTTGGTTGGATAAACCATGCAGTATTTCCTTGGAAGAGTAAAGGACAATCTGAACAAGGGAAAAATCTGAAAGATACTCATAAGGATTATAAAATTGTTTATGACTTTTCTTCACAAAGCAAAACTCAAGAGCAAAACCAACAAAATAAATAATTCAATAAATCTAAAGAAAAGCTTTCTGAAATAAATGACTATCCATTATAATAAAGGATGTACAGTCACTGTGTGTATGTGTGCGCGCATGCACGCACACACCATTAATTCATGGAGCTAAGATTTTCAGGATCTGAGTTCTATTTCTCCACCCCACTGGAAGAGTTTAACTTCCTTCCATGCATAGAAGGGTACTATTGAATTGGGCTGCAGGAACGGAGCTGGGATTTTTGGGATCTGAGCTCCATTTCTGCTGGAGAAGTTCCCCTCCCCTTGGCAGGTAGGCCTTTTGCTCTCAAAGGTCTGCCTGAAGGTTGTAGGTATGGGAGGTGGGGGGAATGGAATCTCGGCTCTGTGCAGAGTTGAGATTCCCCCCCTGGCTGGCAGTCCTTTTGCTCTCAAAAAGCTTTCTGCGTGGAAGGAATCTCAACTCTGTGGTAAGTGGTAGCAGCCTGCAATCTTCCCTGCCAGCTTCTACACGGATTCCCCACAATTTGCAAGATTGCAATTTGTGATCACATGAACATGGAGCGCTTGGCAATTAGTTGTAAGTGCAAACAAGTTCCCAAGCACCCAGATTATGATAACATGATTGTGGGGTCTGTATGTGTGATGCTTCACAACATCCAGTTTACGAACTGTAAAGCATTCTTCCCAATGTCATGGTACCTTCAAATGATCATTAAATGAATGAGGACCACTTGTAAAAGTTGAGGACTACTTGTAAAATTTTAAGGATCGTGTGCCTATAGCAGAAACTTCTGTGGAAAATGATAGGTTGCTTTAACAAAATTTCAGATTGATGCAGCAGTGACACTCCCCATCTTCCAAACAACCTTTGCTGAATTGAATCGAAAGTATGGCACAGCATTACATACACATTCAGCCAAGTAGAAATGATATTTGCTTCTTTCTAGAACACATATCAACAATATACCTGATACCAGTGAGAACTGTCTCCATGCTCACCAGGAATGGACCCCTAAACTACAGAATTTGTTTGCTTACCAATCTGTGCAGAGTGGTTGCGCTTTATGCTGTTTTTGTAGCGCACTGCTTCCTTGATGCGGTCTACTTCCTGCTGGTAGCGGCGCTTGTCTTTCATTGCCCCTTCCTTGGCTTCCTTCAGTGCACCCTCCAGGGCCTTAACTCTCTCAGCCGTAGCCCGAAGACGTTTCTCCAGTTTAGGAAGCTCACAACGCAGATCTGCATTGTCACGAACCAGCTGGGCCCCAAGTTAACAAGAAAGGGAAAGAAGAGTAATGGAGATGAAGTGGACGAGGTAGGCACAACTCCATCCCCCAAGACCTGAAACATTCTCCTCCAGTCCCAAGATGGACTGCCCTGCTTTCTCACATTCTGCCCTTTCTAGAAAAACACACAGTATCTGCTAATTCTACCCAATCTGATCTACCTGGAAATCTCACACCTCAGAAGTGTAATTTTTTTTTCCTAGAAGGGAACTACTACATTGCTTCTTATCCCCTTGCATCATAGATTTTGTAGGAATGTGAATATGCCCCTCAGGGCAAAATATGAAGGGCATATTCAAAGCCAACATCTCAATTTGCAAGAACAAGCTTTATGTTCATTCTTGCCCTACTTCTGAGCGCCATGATGGAAAAATCCTGTGGAGCTGGTCTTGAGGAATGCTTGAGTGAAAAGTAGCAGAGCTTGGGGGGCGGGGGGGGTTTTTCAAAATTTACGCAAAAAGAACATTTTAAACATAATCGGCCACTGCTCCAGGTTATAATGAAATGGAGAAAAATAACCCAAATACCACACCAACTGAAGTTCTTTCTGTTGCACATCTATTAAAAGCAACCTATAGTTGACACAGATGCTGGTGATAAGTCACTGCCCTTTATAGGTGACACCCATCCCTTGTTCCCATTAAGCAGGCCCCAAGTGCTACAGATCCAAGCCATGCACCATGCTGGGGTGGGAACATTTTATGAAATGCAAGGTCGGGAGATAAAAGGCCGAGGACTCACAATGATCCATTTAACTCTCACCATATGTAAGCTTGAATTAAACACCAGGTGGCTAAGCAACATGAGGTGACAGCTTAATGGCGTGAGATGAACAATTATTCAAGGGGCAGCCAGCAGCACAATAGGAATTGGCAGGAAAGCTACTGGGCAGCCCAGCCTCCAAGGGAGGGAGAGAAAATGTTTGAGATAATAACATTTAGTTCCCATATCCGAGATCGATATCAAACCAGAATGGGGGTGAAGCATATAGTGAGAATTTATGAACCATGTTTTTTCCAGATAACTGTAGGGCAATCTTCTGTAATCTGATATCTGCTAGATGTGTTGGACTACAATTTCCATCAATTTTAGTTGTTACTAAGGAGGCTATACGGCCTCAAACTGGGAAATTATCTGGAATTCATCTAATTATTTTGATGTTTATTTGTATCTACTTAATGTTGTAGTGGAAGAAAGAGCATTGCTGTTGAGATTTTAGTGTGGAACAGCTAAGCTTTAACTTTTTTTTTCTTTTTGTGACAGATGTTTTGTAGGACAATTTGGTCAGAGAATGGATAGTTCTCCACATACATGAAGCTGCTGAGAATGAGGCCTTTGTACAGACATGAAGGCCACAATGGTAGTGGTTGCCATGGCAGCAAATTATGACCTAATGCAAAAGGGTCATTAGGGGGATGGAGTTGCCATGGCAGTGGAATGGTAAAAGGCGCACCTGACCTTTCCACCCAATCAGTGTCCTCCCCCCCACCCCCAAATAAATATCTATACTCCCAATTTGGTCACCAAGTGCAAACATTTCCTGCCCAGCCCAACAGGCAGAGGAAGATGTGAGAGTGGCTGTACAGTACCTTGGAGACCCAGCGATCCAGCTAGGGTACAGCAGCAATGGGAAAAGGGGGATACAGACATGACTCAGCACACCAGCAGAGTCCCCAATTAAACCCTGCTCTGGAAACCCAGAGAGAAAGAAGTTACACCCCAGCAATGTCTATTGCTTCTGGCTGCTGGTATCCGAGTAGTACCTTCCTTTACTGATCTGAAAATAGGGAAAATTCTCTCTTTTGAGCATGAGATGTGGCAGAAGCATCTTTCTACCATCTTACTCGGCTAAAGTAAGCAGAGACAATTGGAGGAGGAAGGAGAACAGAACAAGGGTAATGGAAATCATATGTGATGACTGTGAGAAGCAATGCAGAGAATGGATATAAGCAAATACCTACCAACATTCTAAGTAGACATCGTCCCTTGCTACTTTGCCACCCTGTCTTAATTTACTCACTTCAATAATTATATGATTTTATGAGGGAATGAAAGGCCTTAGTCTGAAATGCAAATCCATCTCACTTCTTTCTAGTTCCTGCTATTTTCATTCCATTCATAGTTTGAAACTTTCCAAGACCTGCTACAAAATCTCACCAAATTGCACTTGGAAACAAGTGTGACATTTTCAATTAAAGCTGCCACGGTTTCGTAGCAAATATTGTTGGGAAGGGAAAAGGAACCAGAAGGGAGAGGTGCTGAAGTACCAATACGACTGGAAGCAGAATTTGAAAGCCAGGATAAGAGAGCTGGGTAATTCCTGCTGAGCCAGATGGTAGGGAGTGTTTTCTGTATTGTACCAGAAGACATAATTCCCACGGGACAAAAATGGTAATTTATCATGACCAAAGCTAAGCAGGGAAAGAGCTGTTCTTTAGTCTGCTACTGGGGAGTACACGTTATTTGTGGATGCACATTTTACTTTGCATGCAGAAAATCCAAATTGAGACCCTGGCATCTCAGTAAACAAGGTTGCAGATGATGATGAGAGCTCCAAGTCTGAAGCAGACAAAGAGGAAACAGTTATTAGGAGGCTATAGAACCTCCCCAGAGAACTGAGCTCTGCTATGGCAGAACCTGAAATGGATCCCATTTCTCCCAACTTCTTCAAATCCTAAAGAAGATTCACTGACTCCCGCAATACCATGCTGCAGTGCACTTGGTATGAAAGAACAGAGAACTAAGCCCAGCAAGTGTGTGAGGTCCTGAGGCCTGGCTTCTTAGGTGTAACATGCATTGATGAATCCAGTAGAAAGACCCACTGAAACATCTTCAAATACCTGCCTTGTTGTTGCCTTATGCCCCCAAATTCTCAATGCTTTGATTACATGTGCCATGTATTATAACTGTCTCACTTTTATATGATCTGTACATCTTGTTTTTGATTTATGACTGAATTTGGAACACTCTATTGCCTGCTGCCAACTCCTTTTGTATGATGGCTGTATTTGTTTTTGACCGCAGCTAACTCAATAGATCAATGATTGGACTTACTAAAAAGGCAAACTTCATGAGCTCGTCCTTCAGCTGCATATTCCTCAGGTTTTCTGCCTCCATCTAAATAAATATTTCTCAAGTGTTTCATCACTCACAACTCTTCAGTTAAAAAAAAAAAGGACACATAATTATTTGAGAATGATTCCTTCAGTCTGGAATCTTCCTTGTTGCTACAACAAATTTCTGGATAGCTTTTCTTATCCTTTTTACTTTATTAATTTGAAACTATCACAGGATGCAAATTGTGCCACAAAACATCTATCTAAAAAAAAAAAAAAACCCACCATTTTTCAAGGAGTTATTTCTAGATGTAGTTAAACTTACAAAACCGCTTCAAAATGTCCACTATTTGGAAAGGCAATTAAGAAGGGGAGATGAATACTCAAGTAGTTTGTGATTTTTTTTAACATGCATCCGTCTACCACTCAAGCCACTTCTAAGGCCAAGAGAAGGAGGCTGAAATTTCAAAGAAGGAAAACTTGTACTAAGTACATTATTTAAAACCACTTCAGTTGCCTCCCCTGAAAGGCAAAATAACAATGTTTTATCAGCAAAGCAAGGCTCTGGAAGCAGTGCATCTCCCTTCTGGGAATGAAAGGTTTGGCCTTTAGTTCTTTTAAAGTTTTGTTGTTATTGTTGCTCTTGTTCTTCTGATCTGTTTCTTGGTGGAGACATTGGTCTGAATTATTTCCTCTTTCCGAAACAATCCTACATATTCTTCCTCAAGCTGGGTTTACTCCAGTGGTGAAATCCAATTTTTTTTACTACCAGTTCTGTGGGCGTGGCGTGGCGTGGCTTGGTGGGCATGGCAGGGGAAAGATACTGCAAAATCTCCATTCCCACCCCACTCCAGGGGAAGCATGCTGCAAAATCCTCATTCCCTCCCCACTCCTGGGGGAAGGATATTGCAAAATCTCCATTCCGACCCCACTCTGGGGCCGGCCAGAAGTAGTATTTGCTAGTTCTCCGAACTGCTCAAAATTTCTGCTACCAGTTCTCCAGAACCTGCTGGATTTCACCCCTGGTTTACTCCCAGTTCAATGGATATAACAGCACAATTGCAATCATACATATTGCTTCTGCCTTTTAATTTAAGACTGCACCCCTATAGATTTTGCAAGAACATCATAGGGTTGATAAAAGTGCTCTTCCCTCGGGATGTTTTAGAATTTTGACATATATGGGAGGAAGGTCAGGACTTTATACAGCTAGTCCTTTACTTACAACGGTTCATTTAGTGACCGTTCAAAGTTACAACAGCCCTGAAGAAAGTGACTTTTGACCATTTTTCACAACCCCTGCTGCATCCCAATGGCCATGTGATCAAAATTCAGACGCTTGGCAACTGGTTCTTATTTATGACGGTTGCAGTGTCTTGGGATCATATGATCACCTTTTGCGACCTTCTGACAAGCAAAGTCAGTGGGGAAGCTAGATTCACTTAACAACTGTGTTACTAACAACTGCAGTAATTCACTTAACAACTGTGGTGAGAAAGATTGTAAAATGGGGCAAAATTCACTTAACAAATATCTCACTTAGTAACAGAAATGTTGGGCTCAGTTGTGGTCTTAAGTCAAGGACTACCTGTAACTGCCAGATTCCAATAGCTCCTACTCTCTTTACTACATTCTTATAGCTGGTATTTAAAAAGTCTCCCTATTATTCATAATGGAAGACATACAACTCTCTTTTTTCTTTCCATTCCACCTCATGATCTCTGAAAGCAAAAGTAATCAACAAAAGAGCTTGAGTCTGGGACTTTATAAACCCTGTATCGTAAAGTGTTTTCACCTGGTATGTATTTTCAAAATTCATAGGACACCTTTTAGATCTACTTCCTCCCTCTACAGATAATACATGAATAAATAAATAAACAAGATGATAATTTGCTGCATCTGGCAAAAGTCCCATCAATGATGTCACTTAGGTAAAGGTACAGATGGGCAGTATAGTATATAAATTAAATAAATAAATATAAATAAACAAAATAAATGATATGTTCAGCTTGTTATCACTGATCACATGGTAAGGAAATGGCGAGCAATAAGCCCTAACTATCAAAAAGATCATTGTAGGGGAGAGTATCTATTGTTTCGGAAGGGAAATAGTGGAGTGCCTTATGGATCTTACAGTTTTTGGCTGGATTCACACAATGCACTAATTCAGAACCACAAATCAACCAAACATTTTAGTGTACTGTCTTGTATGGAATTAGCCAGGGTGATTTATTGATTTCCTATTTTTTTTACAATGCTATATTTCTTGTTTCTGTACATAAGCATAATTTATCTAAATATAAACATACATTTTTGATTCCCTAAAATCCATGGAACTACATGCTATAATCCCTGTGAATTGCTACACACTCAGAAATACACCCTCATGTGGGAGGTAATAAAAGAAATGAGCATGCAACTCTTCTCTCTTAAACTCCCAAACCATTCTCTGTCTGATCTACAGGATTGGTTTGCCAAATAATCAAGGACACTGATACAGTACGAAGGGCAAATTATTATGGATTAGCAGAAAACAGGAGACAGCTCAGCACTAGCCAAGATTTTGTGATGAGTTTTGGGATCAATAAGCACTAAATCTGGTGTTAGAAAAAGTGATTCTATTTTGATGAGAAAGTAGGAAGAAGAAACCTGTTGCCTTCTAAATTTGATGAACCATATTTTCTAGCCAGCTTTGCAGCCTGATCAAAGCTGACCACTTTTTTACCCAGTTTGATGCAGTAGTTAAGGCACCAGATTAGAAACCAGGAGACAGTGAGTTCTAGTCTTGCCTTAGATATGAAAGCTGGCTGGGTGACTTTAGGGTAGTCACTCTTTTCTCAGTCCAACCCATTTCACAGGGTTATTGTGGGGACACGAGGAGGAAGGAGTATTAGGTATGTTCACCGCCTTGAATTGTTTATAAAAATGATATAGGTGGGAAATAAATAAATAAATAAATTCCAGGAGTTATCATTCAGCAATATCTATCAGGCTCACCAATTCCCCACCCTGATTTAAGCAAACTTAATATTAAATGAGAACAGATATGTGCAGGAGTTTTATTATAGAAAGAGTCAGAGAGTAGGCCTGGGCAATATAGTGATCTTGCATTATGTGAATTCCAAAGCAAGCGAAGAACATGTCTGTGCACAGATTTGTGCCAAATGAGTCCTAGGTGAATGAAAAAATTTGAGAGCACATCCAGATGGCCTTATGAACATACAATGCTGCTACAATACATGGTGACTGCAGAATGGAGACAGAGAAAAAGATTCCCATCCAATTGACTAACTACTGTATAAGGAGCGAAAATAGCCCTGAATTCACTAGCTGTCCTTCTTCTCTCCATCTGCTCCATCCCTCTTTGTGGTTGCTTGGCTCTCATTTAGCCACTTACTCACCTGTTTGTGAACTTTTGTAAGCTGTTCCAGGTTGTTCTCAAGAAAGGAAATCTTCTGTTTCTGGGAATGAGCCCCCCCACTGTCCTCGGGTTCCAACTCCGCACTCTGGAAAGAAGGAGCAAGAAGATATTTATCTCTGCAGCAGTGAAGCAGACAGGAACAGAGGAAGATCCTGTGAGATAGAACAGCAATGACACCAGCAGTGCAAAGCCCAAATAAAACTATATGGATCGGTCCACACTAAAATTTATTCTTTAGTTGCCTCCTTACAAAGAACTGTAATTCCAAGTGTGAAATGTGCATCGTACAGATAAGGAATGGCAAGAATGGGTTCCAGAATTGGGAATGACTGTGAATTTAATGTAACCTCACTGAGAACCGTTCAATAGAACCATTTTCTGCCTTAATTTGAGCAAAAATTCAAAACTACTATGTGGGGAAATTAGAAGAAAGTGAATTTCCTTTACAATGGAAAGAACATACCTGACTTGCACAATGGGCTTCCTAAGATTGGGTAAGGCTCCAAACATATCACCCTACTATCTAATTTTGTTGTTATTAGTGGATCAGAGGATTTTCAAGAAGTCTAGCTAATGTAGAATAATAGCTAAAAAACATGGTACATCAATATAGATTTGCTTTCACATCACATCCCACCCTTGCAATTACTTCAGGTTGTGGCTTTAGGCAAATACAATATCTCACACCTTATCTTCTCACTCCAACCTGCAATTTGGGGACAGAATTGCTAATCTCCACCTTAAGAGGTTTTTTATAAAGATACATTTCAAAAATAAAGCATTTCAAAGATTCACAAGTTTTCGATGTGTTTCAAGAGCTACCTACTTTCTTAACTCGAGTCGTGACGTCTTGAACGAACAGCTTGCGAAGGTTGTGGAGGGTCTGGAGTTCACGGGCCTAGAAAGGGCATAGAAAAGAAAGCTGAGATAACATGTTTTAGTCTCCCTGTTCACTTCCTTTGGTTCTATTCACAAAACTCATTTAACTGGGTCACAGAAGGGGAGCATATTATGTAAACCCTTTAAACTACATTAGTCACTTGCTTAACCAAATCTGGTCAGATTTAGCCCCAGACAGTTAAACTGCTGTTCTCTGTGGATAAAATCAGCTAATGTGCAAACTACTTATGAGGTAATTAGTTGTTTTACAAGGATAATAGATAATTCTAAAGAGACTCTGAAAATGGGGTGAATCTGTCTGTGTTCCTTAACAGTTTTAACTGCCCTCAAACATAGCCCCACAAGGAGGGCAAAAGATGGCAGAAACAGATTAGTAGTGAGTAAGCTCTCCCTCCAAATCTTTCTGCAGTAGTGACAATCACAATCATGCCACTTTAATTTTTTTTAAAAATACTTCACCGGGAAGGGTAATGGAATAAAAAAGGCCACAAGAGGAAAAAAAGGGACAATCTTTCAGGTTTCTTTACAACAGCCGGGAGCCCTAAAAATCATATAACAAGAGTCCTCCTTGTACCCGATGCTGCTGCCACAGATGTGAGTCTATTCACTAGGAATGAGAAAATACTGCCTTTCAGGATGCTTACAACGGTCTCCTCCAGCCCCTTGAGGTCTTGCTTGGACTGCTCGTGGCGCTCGTAGAGAAATCTGTGAAGCAAAAAGAGCATGTGGGGCAAAGGCACCATGGGAAAAGTGTTCTCAGAAGAATTTAATTGTCCTCGCTAAAGCATAACTCTGGTAGCACAGGCAGGTGCTGTCTATTCCCTTATGTTTTAGAATCCTGCATATGGTCAAGATTAGAGGCAGTCATAGATATGCAGGATGGGCAGGCTTCGAAGGAATGTCATTTGGTGGGCCCAGAAAGTGAGCCTTTTCTGAAGTAGCATCTGCCTGATGGAGAGCAGGATGTTCTCAATCTTTCAGGTCTTTTGTAGAGACCTGGGTTTGTGCCCAGACTGGGGGTCCTGGAGAAGTGAAGGGACCTATCTCCTAGCTATGTTAATGACAGTGGACTGCAATACTTCCTTTCATTCTTGTACTTGTTTTTATTTTTATTTTGACATTGTTTGCCGCCCAGTCACTTATTGAGATGGGCAGCTATACAACCTGATTTTTTAAAAAAATAATGGCTAAATTAATTTTCACCTTCTGAGCTTTTACAATCTTTTACAACTTTTACCAGGGTTAGGGTTCTTTTCCTCATTGCTTCTTTGAGTGACATGCCTACATATTCCAGAATGTAGGTGCATACAGAACCAAAGATGATTGAACTAGGACAAAAACATGACTTGATACAATCACTCCCCAGATGCCTAATCATCTTGTCTTCTGCCCTTTGAAAAATTGTCACAATTAGTGGCAATTTTTGGAGGGCTCTATGGATTCCATTCCAGACTTACCACATGACCATGGGCCTTAGATTGTATATGCCTGTTTTATAAAATCTTAGGACACAGTTTTTTTGTTGAAGGTGGGTAGTGAGTAGCCGAATTCAACTGCATGTATGTGTGAGACTAGGCAGATTTGGTGGCAGAGAAAAACGAAGTACTGTAACTGAGGGGGAATGGTTCACCGATCCCTTCCAGATAACTCCATTGCAGATGAATATAAATAATCTCTTAGAGTTGGGGACTGAGCACCATCTGTTTTGACCCAATCTGTAAAATGTTCTAGAGCTATTCTACGTTAGGAAAAGAAGAAACCCCATATGGGTCATCATGGAAGCAGTGAAGAAGGAAGTGAGACACAGCAGGATTCAACAAATTCTTATTTGGAGAGGAAGGAAACAGGAAATGTTCAAAGCTTTAGAACAGGGGTGTCAAACTTAAGACCCGTGGGCTGAATTCGGCCTATGGGGTGCTTAGATCTGGCCCGCAGGGTCGCTATGGAAACAGTGAAGGACTGGCCCACAGTGCCTTTGCCAGCAAAAACGGAGCTCGGGAGGGACACACGCAGTCACCCTGAACTGCGTTTTCATTGTCAGAGGGTGGCAGGAGGCTGTCGCAGCCGAAAATGGAGTTTGTAAGCCCGTTTTCGCTGGCAGAGTGCTTGGGCCACCACAGACACCCCTGACATGAGTAATGTCAAGCTGGCCATGCCCATCCTGGCCCCCCAAGGTCAAACACAACCCTGATGCGGCCCTGAATGAAATCGAGTTTGACACCCCTGCTTTAGAAATATGAAATAGGACCCAGTTATGACATTTCCTTGTAAAGGATCAAATTCAATTTAGGATCATCTTTTGGGGTGAATCTGATATATGTTTTTAACCAAATATATTTAAATTATTAAATCTGCCCTCATCCCAATTGAGTTATAGTTCCTTCCCCCACTCACTACATGGGTTTAATGTAGTTCAGCTTTTTCCAGCTGATGCCTGCTGGCATCAAATCCCAGAATTCATCAGGACCAAACACATTTTGTTTTAGAGAGTGGGACTAATTCTTAAACACAGGGATGAAGAAAGACAGCTGACAATGTCTAAGGAAAGGAAGAGTTCTCACGTCAGTTCCTGAAGCTTTTGTGTTTTCTCTTGCTCCTCATTCTTGAGTTTCTCATAGTCAGCACGAAGTTTCTCCAGTTCAAGTTCTAACTTCTGGTTTAAGCTGGACAGGAAAGAATGTATGGAGAAATATGCTATTGTTGGGATGGTAAGCTAATTATCATAGTTATTCAGCAGCCTTTCAATTTAGCATAAATTCAGCAAAAGATCTCAATGCTAAAGGCTCAAAACATGGAGACTAAAAAGCCAAAGCCTCTGATGCTTTTCAGGACAATGTACTGTATAAAAGAGGAATTTGAGTCAACCATCTTTTAAACCTTTCCATCACAACCATCTACTAGTTTTAGGTTTAGCATTGCTATAAATGGATTTTTAATCGCAGCAATCCAGCCTAAGGAATTTTTATTAGGGGAAGTTCTATTGAATGAACTTCAGTTCTCAGGAAGGAATTACTGGCCTTAAATTAGTTTCAGTTCACAGTGTCTCAGGGGTCTTAACTACCAGTCTATAAATCCTATTGATTATACACAAATTAAAGGATACCAGACAACTGAATTTATGTCACACAAGAGATATGGATATACAGTAGTGCAACAACTCTAGCTACACTACATTGCCATTACTTCTAGAATTAATTAACATGAGATTTCTCCTATTTGGTTCCTCCAGACTTATTAAGAAAGACTATAAATCTCAAATTGTTAGTAAGCACGCTGATTAAGAATTCTGGGAGTTGTAGTCCTAACACAGCTGGAGTGTGCGAGGTTGGTGATGGATGATTTACCCTTACTCCCTTCTTCCATCTTTGCTCCTAATTTCTATTCTACACATGTTCATAAATGGTTGTCGCTTATTTTATTCTTTTCACATTAGTCCTGCCTTGTAAACCTTGTCCAATTTTCTGCTGAGACTCTGCCATCAATCTCTTGAAACTGATTAGGTCAGGCCCTGCCAAAAAAAAAAAACCACCAGCTTCTCATCTCCAACATAACCTATCTTATAATGAGAATCTCTCTCTTTTCCATCAGAACAACTTGCCCCAGCCTAAAAATGACTCACTCTTTAAGCTCATCAATTATTTTCTGCTTCTGGTTGATCTCATCACGTAGGCGTGCCAACTGCTTGTGGTGAGCTTCGCGGTGACTCTCTAGCTGCACTTCCAAGGCCTTCTGTAGGAAAAGAAAGCAGTTCAGAAGTGTAGATAGCAGTGCTGGGGCCCCTCATAAAGCAGCAAATCTTGGACACTCTTCAAAAATATATTATTTTCCAGCAAAGCTATACTCTCTTCAACAGCCCATCATATGCTTGTCCTCTTTTTTCTTGTCCCATCCTGGCTCACGAAAATCACTGATGCACGATTAAGTCTTATATCTTTACTAAAAAGGTTTTCTAGCAGAACTCTAGTGGCAAAAAAAAGGTTGGACAAATAATTGTAGTCCCTCATGATTTACCCAGACCACAAAACTCAACCAGCTTAAATCAGAGGCGAGAGAAAGTTCAAATCATAAATAAGGTATGAGAGGGTCAGTCAGTTATGGTATCAGAGTCCAAACTTACTACCCTGTTTCCCCAAAAATAAGACATTCCCTGATAATAAACCCAATCGGACTTTTGAGTGCATGTGCTAAAATAAGCCTCCCCCCAAAAATAAGCCTCCCCAAAAATATTTAAATGCAGAGCTGGAAATCAGGTAAGACAGCAAGAGAAGCCCCATCTTGCTCCACATGCCCCAAAATAATAAGACCTCCCCAAAAATAAGGCCAAGCGTTTATTTCGGGGTTCAAAAAAAATATAAGGCAGGGTCTTATTTTCAGGGAAACACAGGTACTTGAGAAAGAAAGCTAAAGAGTTGGGGAATAAAGTGGTGATATAAATGGAGAGCTGTTGCCAATTGATGGATGAGGCACTCATATAGGGGCAGTGTGATTTGAATTTGTTCCTGGTGGGGAGGGGCAGCATGTGTATGTTTGTGTCTGTATTCTTTCTGGCCAATTCGTGCTGAGCTTCTTTGCTTGGTCCCCTTTCTTGCAGTGGGGAGGAGGTGTTACTTTTGCTTCTTTATCTTCTAAGGCTTTTGATAGCTGCCTCTCCAGGTTGCTAGGCAACACTGCTTTCCCTGCCTGCAACTCTTCCAGTGAATCTCCTCTGGCTGATGACTCTCCTGTAACTGCTCTTCATCTTCTGAATCTGAGCTGGCCATGCGTGACAGTTCTCCTTTTAGAGCACAAAATATGCCTGTCTGGCCCTCTGTCTCTCTATCTTTTTTTAATTTCCTCCAGCTCTACCCCTCTTTTTAATTAATGCTGCCAGGGGCCAAAGGGATTGTGTAAGTGGGATAACACCCTTGATGTAGAAAGACATGCCTTATCTCTTGTACTAACTTTGACTTCATCTGTATCTTGTATCATCAGGTCCTGCTCCTTGGCTACGTCATGTACCGTCTCTGTGGGAGAGAAGAAAGATCCTTAATGAGAGGATGTTAGACAGACTTAGAGCATGGGTTGATGACCAGTGTTAGATTAGTAATTTGCTTTCTTGATCTAGGAGACTTGGCTAAAACATCAATTGCTCCTTTAATTTTCTATGATTTCTTGAGCAGTTTATTCTCTCAATTTTATCTCTCAATCTCAAGATATAAGTGCAGAGTAAAAAGTTTCTTTTAAAAGATTTATTCTGTACCCCTCCTTCATCGATAAAATGGAACCAGTAACCTGCCTCACACCCTTATACATAAAGCAGGAAAGACTTTATGTAAAAAAATGAACAGGCTACATACAAAGAATAAATAATAAATAATAACAGGCAGGAACTACTGTGAATTCTTGACATGGTCAAGAATTCAACTTTTAAGCAAACAACACTATATGCAAGGACTCAAATATTCTGCATTAAAATCTGTATTTTGCAACCACACTGACCTAGTCATTTCTTGAATTATTCACATACTTCTGTACCAATCATAATAAGCCCAGTACTGTACATATTACCTTGGGCCTGCAGTTTAGCTAACTCTTCACTCAGAGCATCATAGGATTCTTCCAGGTTCCGTTTCTTCAGCTCCACACTCTGCATGTACTCAGTAAGTGAACGGATCTTGGCTTCATGCTGAGAAGATTAGGAAATGTAATCGAATAAGAGATCCATTTCACAAATGTAGTCTGGATTCCAGACTTCCCAATCTCATTTTCTATGAGGAAGAATTCAACTTTCTGCTTGTCCAAACTTGGAAACTGTCATCCCTCCTCAAATACATCTTCAGAGTTCCAAAATAAAGAGGGGACCAAGCAATCAAGAAGCCCCCTTCCATGCTGCATTTCAAGGGTACACCTATCATAGTTTACAGTACAATTCTATGCAAGTATATCCAGAAACTGCAATCAATAGGACACTTCTAAGAAATAACACACATGATTAATTAGATTAGACTAGGATTAATATTAATTAGATGGATCATTAATGACTATTGGAAACAGGACATGGTTTTGGAGCAAAACACAATGTGTGTGCTTGTGGGTGTAGATGTGTTGTGTACTTTCCCCATTTCAAATACACCCTCATAATGTTCTTCATGGAGCTGTGGATTTATGAACATTTACTAGCAGAATGTTTTAATTAAAAGAAAGGAATGTTTGTGTGATCCAGAATCAGAAAATGAAAAACAGGGAAAGAATTTAAATTTACCCTCAATCTGCTATTTCTCTGATCCCATTTTAAAAATTGTTATCGAGAATTATGACATGCAACAGCATGAAGTCTGGCCCCAGAAATACATCTCAAAATATTAAATATTATAGCAGAGCTTTGTGTTCCAAAGTGATCTATAATTAGATTTCTCATTATTTTCATATGCATTTAGAAGCAATTTTGAGAAGCTGGAAAATGGATTAGAATAGTGGCATTAGAGAAAAATGGATAATATATGAACTAGTGTTTGAAAAAAAATGGAAATAGGAGAAAAGTTAAGCCCTTTCCTCTGTGATTTAAAAACAAACAGAAATCCCACTTTGAGGTTAGCTTCCCACTATGACACCTCCTCCACAGTTTATGCTGATCCCTTGTTACAGATATTATAATATCCAAAAGAATATTAAGATGCCTATCTGTAAACAGCTGAGTATGTGCTTCTGGTAGAGCTTGGTCTCCCTGATAAGTATGTATAAATACTTAAAGATACATGCCAACCATTTGACTTCTACAGGTCTGCTGTAAGGAATATTCATGCACTGGTAGCAATGGTAACTTCCTATAAACAAGGAAAATGCACATTTGGGGGAGCTTCACCTCACTACTGAAACAATGGTAGTAGCAATAAACTAGATCAATCCTCACTGATCTCCCAAAAAAGATTTCCCACCGTATCTATCCTCCTTTATGCTGGAACTTCAAATTTCCTGACACCTGTTTATAGGACCTGACCAAGAAATAACAGAAAGCCAGTTACACAAGGAACTAATTCTTGAAGACTTTTTTTCAAGCTTTCTCCAACATAGTCCTTTCCTACCAGCATGGGAGATCATCTCTTTTCTACTCTAGTTTGGAAGAAAAGAAAGCTAATCAAATCCAATGACATTCCTGATTTCCTTTTATACGTCCTAGTTCTCAAACATACTTATATGGAAAACTCTAAAACTGAGATCGGTATCCTATAAATCCCAAATACCGCTGAACTATAATTTCCATCAATTTCACCCAGCATGGTCAACAATGAAAGGTAGAGGGGGTGTTAATAAGATCTGGAGTACCAGAGATTCCTTACTCAGATTGTGAAACTCTAGGTGCTTTTCTATGAGGAATATTCTGGTCCCTCTTTATTTCTTCTATCAGTTTTAAATGCCACAGCTAATGTCCTTTTGTTGTGGTCCGCCGGCAGCCTGCAGAGCTGGCAGCGGAATCGGACAGTGAGGAGGTTGGGGAGGAACATGGGCCAGTCCTGGAGTCTGGGGAAGGCTCAGATAAGGGCTCTGCGTCGGAGGCAGAGTGGAGGCCAGGGCCATCTGGGAGTTATGTGCTGCCTCCGGAGCCTCCAGAGTTGGACATCAGCGAGGCAGAGGAACAGGGAGAGTATGTTCCCAGTGCACGCATGCACAGAGCTGCCAGAAGGCAAGAACAGTTAAGACAAAAGGGACGACTCGGGAGTAATGCTTGAAGATGATTGGCCCCTCCCATAAGATATAAAGGAGGAGCAAAGGCACATGAGCTTTTGCAGGAAACAACTTTGTTCGTTCTGGTTGGTTTAAATTCTGAAGCTCCGTTTTGACTCTGTGCTCCGTGTGGCCATGCAAAGCTAATTGCCAATTAGGTCTTTGGCAGCGTGTCAAGAGAGATAAAGGTTATCAGCCTTATCCCGAAGGACTGTAGCAGACTTCTGTCAGACTCTTTATAAACTATTTGTGACTCATTAGGGGCTGTGAATGAACATAATTCACAGCCGTTGAAATAAAAAGAGGGTTTTGGGGACTAATTGTGTGCTTTTTACTGTCTCAGGAAGCCTAGATCAGAACATCTTTCATCCGCACTTCCACGGAATCTGACCTGAGAAATGAGAAGCTGGCAGGAAGACAATTCCCGTCCTGTCACCTCCATCTTACGGTGGCACTCAACTTGAAGACCTTCCAGCTGACGGCAACGTTTCACAACGGACTTCACTTCCGATTTGATCTTGCTGATGTAGAGCCGGGCAACAGTAAATTCTTCCTCAATGGCACCACTAATCTCTACTGGCTAAAAATTAACAATTTTAAAAGAGAACATATTATTTGAGAAATATACAGGTAGTCCCTGATTTACAACAGTTCATTTAGTGACTGTTCAAAATTACAACGATACTGAAAAATGTGACTTATGACCATTTTTCAGAGTTATGATCTTTGTAGCATCCCCGTGCTCACATAATTAAAATTCAGATGCTTGGCAACTGGTTCATATTTATGATGGTTGCAGTGTCCCAGGGTCATATGATCCTCTTTTGCGACCTCCTGACAAGCAACATCAATAGGGAAGCCAGATTCATTTAACAACCGGATTACTAACTTATCAACTGCGGTGATTCATTAACAACTGTGGCAAAAAAATATATCATAAAATGGGGAAAAATCAGTTAACAAATGTCTCAGTTAACAACAGAAATTTTGGACTCAATTGTGGTCATAGGTCGAGAATTGTCTGTAGTTCAATGTATGATTCTAAGAAGCAGAACTGTTTATACATTCTTCCTTCTTTCTTTTGCTCATCAGATGACACTGTTCCCAGATCATTAGATTCCACTATTTTCTACGTAGTTTTTCTCACTTTCTTCAATTTTGTATATGGTAAGGTCAGCACTAAATACCTTAAATGAACCTTTCTATTGCTCTTTTTTTAGAAATTGGACACAACATTTAAAAGGGCTTGATTAAATAGAACAAAGAAAACAATTAGGAATTTCCCCAGATACATTTTATATGTTTCCAAACTGAGAGAGAATGACTACTACTTTCCAAACATTGACTCCCCTATCAACTGCTTACCAGTTTGATCTCACCGTTTCCCACAATGACGCTGAATTCACTCAGATCCTTCATAAGGCCATTGAGGACCTCAGCAATGCGTTTGCGCTGGTGTCCACTGAATTCCTGTAGGCGTTGCAACTCTGATTCCAAAGACAACATGGTGGCCTGCAAAGATAAAGACAACTATGGCTTATCCAACTCAAAGAGAATTCCTCTGGTTTAAAAATGTGGGAGTCTCCGTTTTTAATTAAAGGGAAAAGACCTTAATTTCTTGAAATAAATTAAATTTAAATTAATTCTTAAATTAATGATGTAATTTCTTAAGTGTTTTAATTTAAATGTGAACCCTCTGATTAGGAATTAGATTATACAAAACAAAATTAAGACGAAAAAGCTGGTTTAAACTTGAACATATGCAAGGGCTCTGAGTAAATATCTATGGGAATGGAAGTTTCACCAGTTAAAACAAAAAGAAAGGCTATGGTGAATTTATTAGACCAATCTGAACACCTGCTACTGCAGTTCTGGAATCTTCTGCAGTTCTGGAGCCTTTCTCTAGGAATTTCTCTATACCATCATTGTTTTCTCTTTGATATCCTAACAAAACTTCTTTAGTTACTCAAGTTTTGATGAATGTATTGATTCTAGAAGGGCAACATTTGAACCTGTTAAATTTTAACTTGTGTTTTACAGTTCCGCAAGGAGATCTCGGCACTTACCACTTTCTGAGACAACTCATCCACCAATAGCTGATTCTGCTGGCTCTTCTCTTCTACCTCCTGGGATTTCTGATCGTAGTTGACAGCCAATTCCTCCAGAGCTTGCAGTACCTCCTTCACCTCCTCCTTAGCGGAATCATTCTCAGTCTGAAGATGGCTTAATTCCTGCTGCACTTTTTCATTGTCCCCACGAGTGGATATTAGCAGCTATCAGAGGGACAAGGCAGAGTGAGTTAGTAATTAGAAAAATGTCAGGAAAGATATAAGAAAGGAGGAAGAACAGGAAGGCCAAATATGGATGATGTAAAAAGAGGTAGAAATATAGAGAGATTTACAGATTTAAGAAATAGAAGGCTGTTACAGTTACCATATATTAGTCTTTCTCTACTCAATTGCCTTCTGATTATATATCCATCAATTCCAGTCAGATGTAGTTTGCTTAAAATTATCACAGCTGCAATCTAATACAGCCTGAGGACACCTAACCGGGGAAGACTGGAAGACAATTACAGTATTTAATTAAAATGCTGGGAAGACCAGGACGAAATCCGTAGCCAGCTACTAAGCTGATTAGCCAATGTTGAACACATCATCATCTCTCACAGGACTGTTGGGAGGACAATGTGATGAGAAAGAATGACCAGATATCATCTGTTCCTTTGAGGAAAGGCTGTCTTAAATTAAGATTAAAAAGTCAGGATGCACTTTTATGCATGTCTGTGCATAAAAGTACTCTTGGGAAATTGCTCACCTCCTCCTGGTCCAGCATCTGCTCTTTTAGTTTCTCCATCAGTTGGCTCTGCTGATTAATTTCATCATCCTGATTGGACAAAAATATGTCATTGCTTAACTACCTTATGCTGTGTCCATGGTTTCAGACAGGTAAGGCACAAAGAAAAGACATTGTGACCGAGATGGGGTTAAAAGGAAACCAGGAGAAGTTTTACATAGGATGGAGGAGAGATGTCTACCTTATCATCAAGCTGCTTGTAGAGTTTGCGGATCTCCTCCTCATACTTATGCCGCTCCTCATCCGAGATCCGGATGACGATGGAGGAGTTGTTATCATTAATGGGTGTCTCATCACAAGTGTCAGGTACCACCTTCTCCTCATCACTCAACTGCTCTGTTTCTGGGACATTCTCACCTAAAAATGTTTAAATAGAAGACAAGGGACATTTTCACACACTTATTTTACTGCTGTGTTTATTATGAATCACAAGGTATCATAATGCCTTTCAGGGACAGATCTGTGCAATCATTACATGAGAAATCACACTTTTTCACCATCCTAGAAATGTGAAGCCCATTCAGAGGACTCAGAATTAAGGAAACTAGGTGCCCTTTTCCAATGCTAGACAAACTCTGCAATTCAAGGCCATTTTGGTCCAAATCTCTGGATGGAGAGTGGATTATGCCGCTATTTTTTCACAGTAAGCACTAATGTATGAAAGGAATATTACATCTGTTTCATCATAGGAATAATGATCAAAAATTCAATGAAGAGAAATTACATTGCACAAGTTCCCAACTTCACTCCTTAGCATTTCCATCTCCTGCCAAGGTTGAATAGTCTGACTTGATACATGACAGTTATCTAGGTTTTTATGACTGTCCCTTGCATTTCATCACTCTAAGACCCTTGTCATATCTGCACTTATTATTTAGTTCCTAGGCAACCTGAGGCATCTTTATTACATCATACAAACATGCAGCATATGTCTGGGATCATCTGTCCTTAAACTTAGATGAAGCAATGTGACATTTCAGGACATTGATAACCATTTCCAAAGTCTTTCTATTAGGCAAATGCAGTGTAGCCATAATTCTTGCTTGCATCCTTGCATTTTTTTAAAATCTCCCACTCCAAATATTTATTGGCATTATAGAATGTGCAATTCTCATTGCTTAGTTTCAGGTACAAATAAATTTTACCCCAAAACCAGCCTTTTGTTCATATGTTAACCTGTCAACATATGGTTGATATACAGGAAATACATCTACTACTAATCTCACTTAATTCTGAAAGACCAAACATGAATGCAGTCAACAGCAAAGCAAAGAGGACCTTTATATTCTTTGCACCCCAACCTACCATTGCGCCAGCGTCCTAGCTCAGCCTCCAACTTCGCAATTGTCTCCTTGAGGGTCTTGTTCTTCTCCTTCTCCTTCTCAAATTTCTTCTTCCATTGTTCTGCTGTCAATTCCAGATTCACTGATGCTGTATTCTTGATTGTCTTGGCCCTGAAATGGAAGAGAATATCTTTATGGAGAAGACTTTGCTTTGTTTAGTGGACATTCTGCTTTGATTGATTGGTTGGTTGGTTGGTTGGTTGATTGATCTGACTTATTTTTGACTCCTAGCAACCATATATCATATTTTTTGGAGTATAAGACACACCTTTTTCCCCCCAAAAAGAGGATGAAAATCTGGGTGCCTCTTATACTCCGAATGTAGCCCCACCCAGCCTTGCAAATGGAGATTTCAGAAGCTGAAAGAAGCCTCTGAAAGAAGCTTCAGAAAAAAAGCCTCAGAAATGAAGCTTCAGAAAAAAAAGCCTCTGAAAGGCTTTTATCTAAAATAATATGGCAAGCAACAAAAGAAGAATCAGTAAAGGTTCTAACCAAACTATGTTAACAAATCTGGAAAATGACACAATAACCAACAGATCGGCAGAGGTTAATCTACATACCAATACCAAAGAAAGGAGATTGAACAGACTACAGCTAGTCCTTCAGAATAAAAGCCTCTGAAAGAAGCCTTTTTTCTGAAGCTCTGTTTCGGAGGCTTTCAGAGGCAGAAAAAAAAGCAAAAAAAAAAAAAAGGCACAGAGCTCACAACCAATGAACCTGTTGCTAAAATTCACCTCTGGAAACAGCTGATTGGGGGTACTCCAGGAGGCCAATCCACCCACCAATCAGTTTTTTTCTTATTTTCCTCCCCAAAAACTAAGGTGTATCTTATACTCCGGTGCGTCATATACTCTGAAAAATACAGTAGATACATTTCCTTCATGATGATGTATCCATAATCAGATCATTCAGATTTTCCAACAGTGCACTCATTGCCACCAGAATTGAGTCCATCCACCTTGCTGCTTCTCTTTTCTTTGAAGACATTCCATTACACTCTATTTATTATATTGATCATCTTCCTAGTATTGACGCAGATGACTGAAGCTCTAAAAATACAGGAAGATCTTACTATTCTGCATTGCTCATTGACTAGCAGGAATAGGTTTTAAGGCTAGAGTTTACCTCAGCAGAAGATGCTTATGATCAAACATGGCTCTTTCCACACAAGGCTTGTGTTCCACAGCCGAAGCCAGTCCTTTCCCTAAATGCCTCATCTCCGAAATAGCAGCAGAATCATTTTACCCATCTATTCCAATAGTAGCCTTTTCAAAATACTATTCAAAATAGTATCCATTCAAAAAGCAATTCCGTCAGTATGCTTACCGCTGTCCAAACATGAGAGTAGATTTGGTCTCAGCATCATTATAGCTGGAAGGAGAGCAGCAGATAAACATTGTTGTGCGGCAGTTCCCACCGAGGGAGTCCTGCAGGATACGGGTCATCTTGCTATCTCGGTAGGGCACATAGCTTTTCTGCATGAGATAATGGGAGTGAACATATTCGGCTTTTTTCACACAGACAAAATTGACCACAGAAATGTCAATCTACTCGCAGTTCTTATCAATTTAAAAAAAAAAATCCTATACATCCAATGGACAGGGAGACGCAAACTCATCTAGAAATTTCATCTTCCAGATAGGAAAGGAAAACCTAAATCGCCAGAAGCAAATAATTAACAGGTAGCAGCGTATTTTCTAGAGCAGTCAACATAGTCCCAGCAGTTCTGACTGTATCAGATGCTTTTGCTACATCTTTCCCCAAACTTATGTTCTTCAAGCCTGTTGAACCACCATTCCCAGAAGTCCCAGCTATGAATTTTGGGAGTTATTCTTGGGCTATAACTTCAGATATTAGGCCAACTCCCATACTCCAAAACAAAGGTTGTTTTCCTTTTTCCCTTTGGTTGTGTTAATTGGAAGGATTGTTAGTTTTGTCTGTTGGTTGCTGCTCATGTTATTTATCATTTTGTTTATTGTTTTCATTCCACCCACAGTCATGTACTCTAGATGGGTGGCCATATAAATGTAATAAATAAATAAATTCCTAGATGGGGTGTCGGCAACCTGTGGCCCCAGAGCCGCTCATGGCTCTTTCGTTCTCCTGCTGTGGCTTCCTGTCAGCTAGCTGGCCCCACCCCTCCCAGTCACTCCTCGCGTAGCCTGAGAAGGTAAAGGTGATGGCGGGGATTCAACAGGTTCTGACCATTTCTGGAGAAACGGTAGCAGAAATTTTGAGTAGTTCGGAGAACTGGTAAATGCCACCTCTGACTGGCCCCGCCCCCATCTATTCTCTGCCTTCTGAGTCCCAGCTGATCAGGAGGAAATGGGGATTTTGCAGTAACCTTCCCCTGGAGTGGGGAGGGAATGGGGATTTTACAGTATCCTTCCCCTGGAGTGGGGTGGGAATGGAGATTTTACAGTATCCTTCCTCTGCCATGCCCACCAAGCCATGCCCACCAAGCCATGCCATGTTCACTGAGCCACGCCCACAGAACCGGTAGTAAAAAAAATTGAATCCCACCACTGATGGAGAGTCACTCTAAACGAGAGGGAGGCACCCCTGTACTTGTCCCTCATCTCGCAGAGGCTTCTTCCGACACTTCTTAGTGCTGCACGCACCTCGGTTGCTTGCAGAGACGCACAATTTGCTCTCACCCCCCAAGCACACTGGCCCAGGCAGCTGCAGCCAATGCTCCACATCGTAATGGGCTTCAAGAGGAGGAAGGGACGCCATTTACAACACAGAGCATCAGCCACAGCTGGCCTGGGCCAGCGTCTTGGGGCAGAGAACAAGTCGTGCGTCCCCCCAAGCAACCAAGGTGCGCGAAGCACTAAGAAGCGCCAGAAGAAACCTCCACGAGATGAGAAGGAAGTACAGGAGCACTTCCCTCTCGTTCGGAGCCTTCTCAGGCTATGTGAGGAATGACTGGGAGGGGAGGGCGAGGGGCAGGGCCAGACAGCCGACAGAGAGCTACAGTAGGGGGTGGCTAAAGAGCTTCATTTATCTGGGAACCTGAAATGACGCTTGATTTAAATCATATGGTAAAAAGCACCCAAAGAAGAAGAAAGAACATCAGCAAAAAACAAAACAAAACCAATCCTCGCCTGTTTTTTGGAAAGGGAGCCTTCAAAAGGGAGCCCACACAGACACACGAGAGAGATGGGGGGAAAGAGAGAGAGAGAAACGAGAATATGATGGAAGTAGAGAATGAGAGAGAGGAAAAAGAGAGAGAAACAAATGAGACAGAGAAGGGAGAGAGGGAGCGAGAAATGAGAGAAAGCTGGAGGGAGAGAATGAGAGTGAGGGAAAAGAGGGAAACAAATGAGAGAGAAGGCAAGAGAAAGGAAAGAAAGAAAGAGGAAGGCAGAAGAAAAAAAGAAAAACAGAAGAGAGAGAGAGGGAGAGAGAGAGAGAGAGAGACCCATTTCCCACAGGAAACACCCAGAGCCACAAAACCCAGGTAGGCGTGGCTGGGGCAGGTCATGTGACTGGGTGAGAGTGCCATTGAGTTGGCCACACTCACCCAGGTTTTGTGGCTCCCAGTGTTTTCTTTTCTGTGGGAAACGGTTCTTTGAATGTTTAACGTTGCAGACCCCTGCCCTAGATATCCGTATAGAACCAGGATGGGGAAAGCTGGCAAGCAATCTTTTTGTTAAGGGATGCACTACTCACTGTGCCCTCAGCCAGAGCTGAGATAACATTTCCAAGTGCCGACAGAGATTTATTGATATTCTTGGCCTCATCCAACACAGCTCCTTCAGCTCCAGTCTTGCTGACCTGCCAGGAGAAGACATTTGTTTATTATAAAGGAGATACATCTGTATGTTATATGAAATCCTAAATGAGGCTTTCGTTTCTGAATAAACAAGCTTCCTAGGTATTGGGAGAAAACCAACGGAACCAACTAGAAGGCCCAGAAGAATTGGGACAGACGTGGAGACCAATGAAAAGTAATTGTCCCAAACATCTGAAATGTATTTCAGTCCAAAACCAGCTCAAGCAAGCTCCCTATCGTTTCCTTTGGGTGGCAGACAGTTATGGCTGGCAAATCAGGTCCTATTCTCCCATTCAGTGATTTCCCAATACACTATTCAGACTTGCTACCTAACTGCATTTAAAGCACATAGCTCTCTGGAGATCCCTAAGATACTGATTTGGAGACCTGTCATTCAAATAATGGGTTTCCTGATGCTGAGGAGAGGAAAGTACGACATTTTAATGAGTCTTAGCTTCAAAGTATATATCTTATGAAGGCATTGCTGAGATACAGTACATGTATGATGTTCACATTGCACTCATGTCAGAAGCACCAAGGCGCTTCCGGATTGAAAGGATTAGCTGGTAACATCACCGTTTCCCAGGGGATACCCAGTTTGGAGCTCCTTTCCTGTTCCTGGCAGTAGCTGGAGCAAAAGCCAGGTGCTCACCCCACCCCATGGCAGCACTCAGGTGTTGTGGTCCACCAGCAGCCTGCGGAGCTGGCAGCGGAGTCGGACAGTGAGGAGGCTGGGGGGGAACGTGGGCCAGTCCTGGAGTCTGGGGAAGGCTCGGATGAGGGCTCTGCATCGGAGGCAGAGATGGGGCCAGGGCCATCTGGGAGTTATGTGTGGACTCTGGAGCCTCCATCAGAGAGGCAGAGGAACAGGGGGAGCCTGTTTCTAGTGCGCGCATGTGCAGAGCTGTCAGAAGGCAAGAACAGTTAAAACAAAAGGGACGACTCAGGAGTAAGGCTTGGAGATGATTGGCCCCTCCCATAAGACAAAGGAAGAGCAAAGGCATGTGGGTCTTTGCAGGAAGCAACATTGTGGATGGTGTCGGTTTGTACTTTGAAGCTCTGTTTTTGACTCTGTGTGTCCGTGTGGCCTTGCCAAGATAATTGCCAATTAGGGCAGCGTGTCAAAGAAGATAAAGTTGGGTGTTTACCAGCCTTATCCGAAGGGCTGTGGCAGACTTCTGTTGGACTATTTATAAACTCTTGGTGATTCAGCATGTGCTGTGAATGAAAGGAATTCACAGCCGTTAAAATAAAAAAAGGGGTTTTTGGGACTAATCGTGTGCTTTTTACTATATCAGGAAGCCTAAGTCAGAACATTTGGTCTCAAATGCAAGCTTGCTAACCTCCAACCCAGTGTCCTAACCACACAAGTCACTGTGTTCCTTATGTATGATGCTGATCTTAGTTTATGAAATAAATCAAACTCTGCTTGCTTCCCCGCTCAGATCTCTTTTAAGCCCCGAGCACCTTTTCGCTGCCAGCCAAATCCACCAGGTAAAGCTTCCCACTCAGTTTTTGCTCAGTCTCTATGTTCTCCTGCTTAATGTTGATAAGGAAGATGCTGTGACTCCGAGAACTGTGCTCATTCATGTCTGCAAGATTAAGAGAGAGAAAGAGACAAGCCTGTTTTATTTCTCAAAAAGAAACCCTGGGCAGAGATTTCCTGCACTGAAATTGTACAATATTCAGACCACTGAGGGCTCTTCGAGGCATGGAGAGTGGCAGTGTTATTGAAAAAAGCTTAGCAAATGAGTTTGTTGTCTGCTTTCTACTATAATCCTCATATGCGCAGGTCTAAAAATAAACATCACAGAAACTTGTAAACTGTTTGATTTGAGATAATAAGCAATAATCATTTAAAGGCGGTATCAAAATGCTACTCCAGTTGAATATACTAAGAATTATATTACTTTCAACTCTACAGGAAATCCATGTTCCCCACACCCACAAGTCCTATACAATACTTGTATTGCAGAAAAAACACAACAAAACAAAATAGGTGATAAAAATAGTTGTGACTGCTTCCTAATTATAAATTGAGAACAAAAAAAGAATCCTTATGTCCGGAAAATTAATGATCAGCTGGTCTTTGATGCAGGATTTTTTTCTATACAGTAACTGGATGATTTGTTCACTTTTTTTCCCCTTCTTTCTTTCAATTGTGTCCAATTCTCAGAGATTGCCTGGACAAGTTCCTGCAATTTTCTTGGCATGGTTTTTCAGAATTGGTTTGCCATTGCCTCCTTCCTAGGGCTAAGAGAAAGTGACTGGCCCAAGGTCACCCAACTGGTTTCATATCAAAAGCAGTCCTATCCTGATGCCTAATCACTACACCAAACTGGTTGCCGTTTGCATACTAGGCCATACTAAAAGAATATTATCTCCTTCAGTTTTTATTAGACCTAGCCTCTCATCAACTTACATTTTATACTTTAAGCATGATTGAGAGTAAGAGACAGCAATATTATTACTTTATCTCTTGGTGACAGTTAAAAATCTTGCTGGATGATTACTGCTTTCTCTCGGCTTTAAATGGAGAGGTTGAGATTTACTGGTAATCTCTATCTAAGAACTAACCATCTCTAGTTCTGCTCAGCTTTATCAAAATCAGCTGCTGTAACCTTTAAGGGATAGTGGTACTTTTTTATTAGTGTAGTATAAATATGTTAACAGGAGCTCATTTAGCCTCATACAGCCATCATATAGATCTGGGTTAAACATGGAGAGGTTTCTTTGCCCCCAACACTGTAAGAGCCTGCCCCTTCCTGAAAGCTACATCTCCACTGGCAACACACATAATCTATGCTCAGTCCTTCAGAGCATGGTCCTTACAAGATTAAGTGATATCGCTATGATTTTCCCTGAGCACAAGAACTTTCCTTTTCTTACATTTTCTTCAGTACAGATCTATCTGTACAGTCTGTGACCCACTGACCCAATGAAGGAGTTGGTCCAAAGCTTTTTTGCAGCCTGTGGCACAGAACATGATTTTCCATTCTCTGGGCTAACCAAAACTGGCAGCTTAAGCATTTCCAGTGTCTTGCCACCAGTTCCCACCCCATCCTGGTATCTCCTGCCTGAAATCACTGCCTCAATCGACATAAACAACCCTCTCTTTTTTGCTGCTTTTCTGGATCTGCAAAAGCAAAGTAGGTACAAAGTTCTCAGAAAAAAAACACTTGAAAAGGTCCTAGTGAAGCAGACATTCTTCCTGCCTTGTATGTGAGCTCCCCAACTGCCTGTTCCATACGCCATCATCCTTTCCCAATTGCCTGTCTTCAAAACTCACTGGTGACAGCTACATGGCGGTTGGATTTTCCTTCATCAATAACATCCAGGATTTCTTCAGGGCTGGAAACAAACCGTTCAGTGCAACCCTTAAGCAAAAAAAAAAGAGACAGTATTTTGGTCCTGATCCCATCACTCCCTTCATCTAATTGCCATCCTTTGTTGAAATTGACCGTTGCCCAGTATTGATTTTTTAAGGAAATATCTTAGTTCAATTTTCCATCAACTCACCTTCACAAATGGCACACGGTTCTTATCCTCATGAACTGAGAGACTGGTCTTCGTCACTGTGGATGAAGAAGAAATGGGTCCAAGAGAGCTCAATGAATCCAAGGAAATATGTCTTATTTAAATTACCCGCTATTCTCACAATTGCCAAAATTCTTCCCAGGCCATTGATTTGTTCTATCTCTTGGCTTGCTCTCCACCCCACATGATATTTCATATCCCTTGAAGCTTGCTCACCATCTAGCAGATCACGGATTTTGTCCAGGTAGATTTCAAAGTAAGAAACCTGAGAGGGGAAGGAATAAAGAAATGAAAGATGGGAAGATGGGAATTACTTATGCTCGCATCCTCAAGGATATGTGCCTTTTAAGCAGCAAACTACTATGCACTCTCAGACATTCCAAACAGGTAACTTGAATCTTCCAGATGGGAACTGTAAGCTTTTAGCCTTTTTTATAACAAATACAATGGAGCAAAAGGACAAAAAAAAGCAAGTTTCTATCAATCTAGTGGGTTCCAAATATGGTGGAGTACAGTCCCCCTCAGTCCTAACCTGTAGATCCAGCATATCCTTAGTAGGACTGGCATAAGAGAACCTGCCATTCAAAGGCACAGGACTGCTACCACCATCTGGCTGTTTTCCATGGAGGGCATCAACTGCACTAGTTGGTGCAAGAAAACAAGTGATGGGACACCTGCCTAATGCTCTAAGAATCTTCTGGAGTTAAGGAATAGGTCAGAATGCTTCAGGCAAATAAGTAACAAGCACTACCTATATCACTGATCCCTCCTTGTACTGTTGTATGTCTCTGACCTTAATGTGGAACTCCAGGTTCTCATCCATGGAATAGATATGGTTGAAGATGTCTTGGGCAATGCGTGGGATGATGCCCATGAGCTGGGGATCATGCAGCTTGCCCTAGTGGAACAGAAGAATTGAAAGTAAGTTCAACAAGCCCTCCCAAATCCTTCAGATAACTTTGGTTCTTGAAACCTAGGATCTCTTTGCAGATGCTATTATCAGACTGATGTTTTCCAGTTACAGACCAGCTTTTAAAACCTATATGTGAGAAACCTACTCACCTCCATGGTGTGAGTCTTTCCAGAAGACGTCTGCCCATAGGCAAAGATGGTTCCGTTGTACCCAGCCAGCACATCTGCAAAATAATAATAATAATAATAATAAACTTTGCCATTTTTAAAGGATCTTGTTTATTCTCTTTCTGCTGCCTACCCAAGCAATCCTATTAAGCACCCGATATTCTACCAATGCCCATACTGACCTTTGACAATCTGCATGGCACAGGCATGATACACTTGTTCCTGTGTGGTGTTGGGTGGGAAGACCCGGTCAAAGACATAAGGCTTGCCCTGGAGAGGGACACAGAAAGATAACATAGTAGATTAGAATATCCAAATGTTTACATGAAGTATCCAGTATATTATTCCTGAAAAACAGTGCTTAAGAGGGTGTCAAGGTCTAATTGGGACAATACATCAGTAAGCGTTCAGAATACAGAACACTGGATCCAGTATTATTTCATCCAAAGTCTGATACATACTTGGATGGTAGGGAGAGGGTGGGAAATCCTGAACTCACAGCTGTTACTTAAATAACAGGTAGAAACCATGGTGGGTGGCATTTGCTCCACTTCAGCTGATGATACAGTTATGATTCCATCTGGACCACTATTCATCTGGATTACTGTAATGAGAGCTCTAATGATGCAGATTTTGGAAATGACCCAGAAGCTACAACTGATCACTCCTGTCATAGCCAGTACTGGTAATCCTCGATTTATGACCACAATTAAGCTCAAAATTTATGTTGCAAAGTGAGAATTTGTTAAATGAATTTTGCCCCATTTTTGCCATAGCTGATAAGTGAATCACTGCAGTTGTTAAGTTAGTAACATGGTTGTTAAGTGAACCTGGCTTCTCCATTGATTTTGCTTGTCAGAAGGTTACAAAAGTTGACCACATGATCCCAGGACAATGCAACCATTATAAATATGAGTCAGTTGCCAAGCAGCTAAATTTTGATCACGTGACCACAGGGGATGCTGTAATGGTCATAACTGTGAAAAATGGTGATAAGCAGGGGTGAAATCCAGCAGATTCTGACAGGTTCTGGAGAACTGGTAGCGGAAATTTTGAGTAGTTCAGAAAACCGGCAAATACCACCTCTAGCTGGCCCCAGAGTGGGGATTTTGCAGTATCCTTCCCTGGAGTGGGGTGGGAATGGAGATTTTGCACTGCCACACCCACCAAGCCATGCCCACCAAGACACACCATGCCCACCAAGCCGCGCCCACAGAACCGGTAGTAAAAAAATTTGGATTTCACCACTGGTCATAAGTCACTTTTTTCAGTGCCAATGTAAATTGAGGACTACCTGTATTATTTCTCTTGAGGTTATATAGCACTGGTACCTATAGGTTTCTTTTGAATTGTAGACCTAATTCAAAGTGCCAGTAACAACTCACAAAGCCCTATATGGCACAGCATCAGATTACATTTCTCATAAGAGGAAGGCACTGAAAATGGCTTATTACCAGAATGGATAAAATAATTCTTCAAATCCTTGGAGAACTACATTTCTATCACCAGCCTAAGGGTAGATGCTATTGTCACATCTTACTTTGTGATTCTTACAAGATCTTAGAATGATTTAAGTGCTGATAGGATGGTTCACACATTCTGGGAAGCCCAGCCAAAGAATACTTGTTTCAGGGCAATGACCACTGGAAGATGAAGATGATGTAGCAATTAGAACAGGGAGAAAATAAGGTTTTACTTTTCCCATGAAGCTGAATACCTTGCTGAACATAAGTGCTTTTCATGTCTGGAGTTTTCTATTTATGTATTTGTTTCTCTATTCACTTTTTTTGTCTGCCCAATTCAGTCAATGACTCTGGGTGGCTTACAATTCAAACAATATATTACAGTTTCTTTCCCAATCTATAGAAAGACTCTGTTTACATAATCCATTTAATCCAGCCAGCCCCCAACTTGATCAAAAGTAGTTAATGGCTATTCTAGCAACACACAACCATACTTACTAGGTCCAAAGTTGCTATGTTATGTAAGATAAAATTCCTAGCCACTTTCTCCTGGAAGTGCCTGGTGTTCTATGAATTATTGCACTAGGATGTACAAGGCAAAGCTTAATGCCTTAATGGTGGCTAGGCAGGCAGTAATAGACTTTGTTATTTGTTATGGAGCGGCAGCCAAACAACTCATGCAATGAATTCTGAAAGCAGGGACACTTTTTTCAAAAACTACGTGTCTCCAACTCTATTTCTTGAAACACAGCTGGGAGGGCTTTATAAACTGCACCAAATCTTTATTCAGGTATGGTGTCCCCAAAGCAAAACTGACTGGTTGTTTGTAATTTTTTAAAAAGCCTGTGTTAAAATTAAACTACTCTTGCCCCATTATTAACCCATAACCCAAGTTATGGTATTCTCACAATACATTTACCCCACTATTAGGGGTCTGGTTTTGGCAAGACGAAAGACTTGGGCCCAGGGGTGAAATCCAGCAGGTTCTGACAGGTTCTGGAGAACCAGTAGTGGAAATTTTGAGCAGTTCAGAGAACAGGTGGTGGAAATTTTGAATAGTTCAGAAAACCGGCAAATACCTCCTCTGGCCGGCTGCAGAATGGGGAGGGAATGGGGATTCCCTCCTGGGGGAAGGATATTTTGCAATATCCTTCCCCCAGGAGTGGGGAGGGAATGGGGATTTTGCAGTATCCTTCCCCTGCCACACATACCAAACCACTCCCACCAAGCCACGCCCACAGAACCGGTAGTAAAAAAAATGGATTTCACCACTGCTTGGGCTACATGACATGATTTATATATACTGTATACAGGAGATAAGGAGTTCCAGGATAGACTGTGAATAAGGAGCTGTCCAAATGCTGATTCATTTAAATGTAGGTTAGTTGACTTTTTAAAGCCACTTCGTTGCATCTCTACCAATTACAACAATACTATCAAAAAGTAACAATTAAGACAACAGGCATAAGATTGCTCCTGAGGTTGGCACACTGCAGTATATAATCCCTGCCTTTTGTAAATTTAAGCACAGCAATCACATAAGGAATCTTAAACAAGTAAGGTAGCACTCACGTAACACGCTTAACTTGTAACTGAATCACACAATACAGTGAAGGATAAACTAGCCAAACAGGCTGGCTTTATGCAACATGCTAACCACAGATACAAAAGCTAAACAAGATTAAACCCAACCAATTTAGTATGCTACGCCAATGCATCTGTTTCTCTTTTTCTGACTTCTTACAAGCTTGTGTTATCTGAATGCCACTGAGGGTTATTCAGACCCATTCAACCTACCGACTTGAGACAATATAATATATACCTTGGGAATTCATGCACAATTTCTCAAATATATGAGTGCCTGACCCGAAAGTCAATTAGACAGTTAGAAAATGATGAGGAAGCTGAACATCACTGAAAAATATATTTAGTGGTTCACTTCAGCTTATTGGACTGGTTTATAGGGCCCATGGGCACACAATCAGCTACTTATTTTATGTTCAGGCAGATGTTTTTCCATCTGCAAATGTTATAGTGCCCACATTTATCATCTAAAAGGCATGTCCAGGACACAAAGCATGTTATAGCCTGTCATTACTCAACCCATTGTAAGCTGAATACACAGTGGCCTCTACATATTTTGCATAATAGTGTATGCAGTTAATCTGCACCTGCTTTCTAATTTTATCACATTTATCACATTCACATATAGTGAATTACATGCTGCTGCTCTGTTTCTGAGGGAGGCACTCCTTAAATAAAATCTGATAAGTAAGGTTGGGGAGGGGGATATTAGATGAATGAAACATGACGCTCTTATGATATTTCTTCTAATGTACAATTCTATCATCCTGCAGTAGTCCAAGATTGCAGCCTAAAAAATCAAGGCAATCGCTAACATAAAGCAGAGGTGCCCAATCTTTTAGGCAGTGGGCATATGTGTAATATTGGGAATTTATCACGGACATATTCCCAAGGTGAATGCCATGATGGGCATGGCCAATCACAATTCATTTGCCAGAATTATGAGCTTCTCCTAACCTTTCCCTCTAATCTCTCAGAATATTCCATGCCACCTAAATTCAATCTTTTAAACAATCTGATGCACCAGGAACCCTGGAAGGTCTAATGGAAGTTTGCTGAGGAAGCACTGGTATTCCAGATACCATGCTGGAGAGCTACATGGACAGAAACCAGAGGCAAACTCAGATTAAAATCACCCTACATCTCACTACCATGATTTTTAAAAATCTGCATTACACTACTTATAGAGAGTAGATACTTTATTTCAATTTCATTATAAGTATCTCGACTTACAAAATACGTAGATAAAATTCTTCAGATACTAAAGGTTCTCAACCTAATGCAATTAATTGTGCACAACATTCATTTGAATGGGGTGCAATATACCTAATCCCACATAGGAATGTGACCTATGCTTTGTGCCATTAACTGCTAATTATGACTACTCTTGAAAATGGCTGTAGGCTGCGCTACTCTTTTTAAGAAGAGATTCTAGCTTAATAGATTCCTTCATTTACCATTGATATTTAGAATAATCAAATTATATTTTGTTATTTATTGCAACAAAATTACAATACATGTTTGTAACAAAATATCTGAAAATACTGATGCTTGGTATAATTTACAGCACCAGTCAGCTCTAACTGTTTTAGAGTCTTATAATGTACGTAACTTAAAGATATATTGTCCCTCCTGACTGAAAATTATGGTTAATTCCCCCAAATGGGAAAATACCAATTTGGGGAAAGATTGCATTAGATCTTCTTTTTCATACATTCTTCAGTGACACATTTTGCCATGGAAAATTTGTGTCATGGTTTGGTTTACTCCCTTATCAAAATGCTGCATTTAATACTCAAGCTGTATACAAAATTGTTTGAAGAAAGGTGACACAGTCAGAAATATACAGCCTCAGTCCATCCCAGACTGTTACCAAAACAAAGAACAGATGGAAACTATATTTTCTGTCCAAAAACAATCATAGTTAGCCCTTTACAAAGAGTGGTTGGGAAGAAAACAGGATGTTTATTATCATAAATAGAAATAATACATGATGCACAGCAGTTGCTGAAATCATTCAGTCTGTATTTTTAGCTGTTCTATAATAAATTACTCATTAGAGATTCATGGATTCTTATATGCATGTTTAATTAGCTTCAGCCCAGATTGCCAAAAAAGATAGACTGATAGTTTCCAATTATAGCTTCCCAATATCAACTTTTCTGTTTGGTGTGACTTGATTAATATTTGTTCATTGTACAATAAAGTCATCATTACCAAAGT